AGTAAAGTCTACACTTGTTTGTTCTTCTTCATCTTCCTCTTTATTATACTCCCGTAGTGGTGCAACAGGTTTTTGTTCTCCAAATAACTCTATCATACGCCATCTCAGTCATCACTCCCTCTTAGTCATGTCATCTTTCACGCAATCCATCCATCTCTTTCTAGGTCTACCTCTACCGGTGTACCACACTCATAACTAACGTTCTGCTTGTTACATGCGATTTATTCCTCCTCATAACATGCCCATACCATGCTAATATAAGCAAAATTATGAATTATTATAAATGTTAAAGTTTTAGTAATTGATAATTAAAATAAAAAACACTGACAACAAATATTTCCAAGAATCTTGAACATTTTCTGATTCTGACAAGAAAAGCTGGTCAAGGTTTCGGAAGCTTTACTTAGACCTAAATTCCACTAGTCCATTAGCCGCACCCGACGTATGAGAAATGATGCCATTTCTAGCATAGCTAATCTTCTAAAAACAGATGACTGCTGGTGGAATCTGAAAAACTTCGTTCAATAAGCGCCGTTGCCAGTCAGACGTCATAATTTAGTATTCATAGTGGAAGCGTGGCCTTATCATTTAACACTGTTACACATTTAAATGTCGTTTCAATATTCGGCCTTTACACTCCCACCCGTTTTATATGACAATGTCTGATAATGCAACGAATTCGTAAACACAAGGACGTAATTAAGATAAATTAGCGAATTGGGTAATACTAAAAAGTATCTTATATTTAAGTTAGTGCTCATGCGAATTTACAATTAAAATTAAAAAAATGCAGTCACTACTTTTGTAAATAGTTTGCGAGCCAAGTTGGGGAGAAATTTACTTGAATTTGATTAACAAATGATTAAATCTTCTTTAGTTAGTTAAATTATTATTCTTAAAGTGGCTAAGATAATGTGTCTATTAGGTACATATTTCTTAATGTATCTAAAGTAGATATCTTATATCTATACTTATGTTGTGAAGACGAAAAATTTGTATTATTGAAATAACTTCAAAACTACTAGCCGGATTCAAAAATTCTTTCACCATTAAAAAGCTACGTTAGCGATGAGCCACATAATTCGGACGCGGACGCAGTCGCAAGTTACAGTTACTTCAGTCGTAAGTTAAGTAGTCATGTTAACATTATGTTCTTGCGATAAGTTTATTGGTAATGCACAAGTAATGCACGTTTCATAAGGATCGATGACTTTTGCGTGCAATTTCAATTTGCAGTGATTTCGACAAATCACTATGCGCCAACATTTCAGGTCAATAACATTTGAAAGAGGACGCGCATTACAAATGTTTGTCGTTATTACAAATAACTAAACGTAAACACGGTTCATACGGCACAGGTGCTTAGGAAACCGCAACACAGGACGCTAAATGAACCTTTCGTGCGGTACACCACAGATTATAAATGTCAAAACTTGAAATTGCATAGTGGGCTATTGTTATTTAAATCAACATTTTTACAGAAGAAGTAGCGATTCGCACATGAATGTTATTCCGATAATGGTTCTTAATAAAGGAGTTCAATTTGCTTTTCTCCTTTGACATTGATGCTGAATATTAGAGAAAATATTAGAGAAAATTGGAGAAAAGCAAGGTGATATATTACTTTTAACATTTCATATTTAATTTTCCTTCTGTAGTTTTTACTTGTAACATCGGACGTTTTGTCATAGCGACGATGACAGTTAAAAGTACACTGCGTTTACCATGAAAAATGAAAATAAAAAGGATTCATTGGTGTAACAATAGATTATACAAGTTATTCTAAAGATTATTTTAAAGCGTAAAAACACACTACTTTGTGGAGTAAGATGTCAACAATCACAGCATGATTCATTAAATTAAAAATTTGTGTAATAATACTTCTAATGTACTAAACGGCATTCTCGTACACTTCAAATGTAGTTCTTATGTTGAAGCTGATCAATATAAGCACCCGTTGGAACCTGTAAAAGCATAATACCGATAGTGAAAATTGTAATTACAAGTGTATGATGAAACGCGTTACATTACATTGGCGTCTGGTCGGCGGCGTCCAGTCCACAGCGTCCAGTCAACAGCGTTCAATCGTCGGCGTCCACTCGGCAGCGGGCAACAGACGTGATCACCAGGAAATACCAGTGACATAACGATGCGTCGGTGTTTATGACCTGACAGTGAAAGGGCGTAGATAGATCGCGTTAGGTTTTTGCTCATAAAGTAATATGCATCGCCTGTTAAAGCGGAAATATCACGCATTAAACACAAAAGTGATAGGATTTTCAAACAAATACAATGGAAAATAAAAAAAAAACATCAAATAAGATTAGGGTTTAGTAAATGATTTTTTTCAGTGTAATACGTGTGTAATACGGAACCTTAGAGCTATTTATTATAGAGGCTTACACATTTTGTAACACGCTTAAGCAGCGAGAGTGAGAAGGGATTTCCGAACGGTACTCTTACGAGTAAAGTATTTAGGACAACCAGCGGAGCGAGTCGATGGCGAAACTGGTCGCTGCGTAGACAAAGCGCACAATTACCACCTCTATTACTTCGTAAGAAAGATCATTAGGACCGCAAAATATTTTGGTTATGCTTTATCATCAACAAGACTAAAAAAACTCTTGATTTCTGATTTAGCATTTGAAGTGATGTCGAAGATCTTCGTATTTTGGCGTTGTATGTAAATTGGAAAAAGATGCCATCAAGCAAATATTTACATTGTTAATATTAACTAATAGAGATTAACCGTCTTGTTTTCGCTCTCTGTGGTATTTTCAGAGAAAGTTCACGGTCACCCAGTTAAATTAGCCTTTGCGAAATCGAATTATATTAATTTAAGAAAATGTTATGTTACATTCTGTTTTCCATATTATTCAAGTAACTAAATATTTAACATAATTATGAATACGTTTCCAAACACATTCGTAATTTCCAATTGAATTAATTAAACGTGTTTTGTCAATGTCATTTATTAAAGAAAACTTTAACGAGTGTTTTTTACTTAGTTATGTTCTTTAATAATTTAATTAAAAATACTCTAAGCTTAGTTTACCAAATATAACATTATAATCATCGAATAATACTACTCATTTCGACACCAAATGTATCTACAAGTTCCCCATTTCTCTGCTTTCAAAATGGCGGTCATGTAGGGGTTGGTGGAAAGCTCGGGCCGTAGTTCACCGGGCGCAAGCGTGACAAAAGCACGCGCCTACTGCGAACAAATTATGATAACTTTGTGTGTTAACACTTATGTTATCATAATGTTATAACAAAGTGATATAATTGTGTTAAACATGTCTTCCATTCTAGTATATAGGACTGCAGGTATGTTGGAACAATGCAACAGAGCTATACTTAATGTTTCATAAAACCTGTCCTACATTTTAGTATTGATTTTCTTATGTCAAATATATCTTGTTAGTTAAAGTAGTACGCAAAATTATATGTTGTTGTGATATATCATTACTTACAATATTTTTACTAGATTTCGCCTGCGACTCCGTCCTCGCGGAATTAAAAAAAAAAACAAAAGCTAATGCCTATGTGGTCTTCCAGACTATGCTCTACATTTACCTCAAATTTTATATAGATCCGTTCGACTGTTTAGGCTAGAAATTTTAACTTACGCATAATATTAGTAAGATTAGAGTAATAATTATTTCTGCTACATTTTTTTTTCATTTATCGATATTGTAATGAACAACAACTTTTTGTTATGAAACTTGTGTTTTTCCAATGGGCAGGGAAAAAAACCAGGCACTTTACTAGGACCGGTATAGTGGAATAAATAAAAGAAAACTAAAGGTCCCGAGAGTCAAAACAAATGAAGATCATACGGTAAACTAAACAAGTGAAAGGTGAACTACATACGATGTTAGAAAGGCGTTAAAGAAAAAGTGTTCCATATCTTTAGTCTTTTGTCGATATAATTAATAACTCAAATATTTCGGTCTTATTGCATAAGGCGGGGCTTCTTAAATCCTATTTCCTTCCTCAATTCCTTCATTATTGAACTAACCTTTTACAGTGGTTTAGCATGTCTACACTATATTAATGGTAGATTTTCTTTATTACAAAGTAAACAATAACATTAATTGCAATTCCAATGTCCTTGTTGTGTACAATTCAATCTTGATTGCATTTGTTTTTTGCGTTACAATCGACACCGACTGTAAACTAGTTATGAATGATTTAACGCGTCTACTTATTGCCCCATCAGAGGTACTGATTGCTGTTATTAAAGCGATTGTCGCGACCACGTGAATATATACCATTAACATCTTTTAGGTAGGCAGTATTTTTCCGAAACACGTATTACATTTTCTATGTATTTGATTGCTGTTTTTGCATCTTTCTTTCTATTCTCGACTGTCTACTCTATGTTGAGTTTTATTTTTAATTCCACCGTTTCCACTAATCGTTTTATGCAAATGTACATTTACTGGTACTAATTGCTCTTCTAAGCTGGCTTCTAAATTCAAAGGGTTATGTAAATGTTTTGGACAATATTATCTCAGAGTTTTACGATCGAAGAACTTGCATGATGGTTACAAAGCCGTGACGGTGTTATGACGTGGGCGTGACGTCATAATCTGACGTCTGATGATCTGTAAGATTCATAAGGTGTTCAGTCGGACATCAAAGGCTATAGGACAGGAAATTAAATGGGTTTTTCCGCGTCGTCCATTACCTCGAGAACGAGGATTGCAAAAATTATAACCACTTTAACGGTTTGATTACTTGTTTATCATAAACGTAAGTAGGTAAATATAAGTGGTTTTAAGCGTTAACATTTAAAAAGTGATATTCTAGATGCATGTTTTCAAGGAACACCACAAATGTGTAACTTGTTGCAACCTTGTCTAGTATTTGCGCAATAATTACTCGATTTCATCAGTACAAATTAATTATTATTCATTATTTCGAATTTACTTAATATTTCAAATTAAACTGCATATATCTTCTATTGATATACTTTTAATTTTAATTTGCAGGTAAAAGCAGAGGGTTTGTCAGCGATGCGGGCGGGCCTCTCGTGACAGTATAGAAGTGAACACTAGAAGACGGTGACATCTGACGGACATGGCGCTATCAAATAACTCCTTCTCGAAGACCTACCATCGGTTATTTGTAGAATTAGCCGGTGAGATTATAAAGCTTTCTATTAAATTTTTTAATTGAAACCCTTTGAGAGCAATTAAAGTAAAAAGTGACTTAAGGGCTATGTAATCCTTGATTATTTAAACTAAAACATATATGGGTTTGTTATCTTCATTGTTTTAAGTATGTAGAAATGGTGTAGCCCATTGACTCCTACGAACTAACCTAACTTTAGGATCTAAGTACTTCTGGGAAATCTGATGATTTCTATCTTTGATTCCGCAGATCCGCGAACGAATGATTGGTTCTTAATAACGAGCCCTGTGCCGGGGCTGACGATTCTCGGCCTGTACTTGTACTTCACTTTGAAATGGGGCCCACGCTACATGGCCGACAAGAAACCCTTCCAGCTGCAGAAGACTTTGGTCATCTACAACTTCATCCAAGTCTTTCTCAGCATTTGGTTGTTCTACGAGGTTTGTAATATTATTTAGTTTATAATCAAGGTTGCTGTCGATTTTTCTAGAATATTCTTAAGTTAATTTATTTATTGACTTTGGAGATAAAATGTTGTTTTATTTGGCAAGCTTTTATTTGAGATGAAGTTTCTAGAAGGATTGCGAGGGTCAAAGATGTTTAAATATTATCTATCAACTCAATTACATTTCCAGTTCGAATCCTGAACCATCGTAATATAAAAAGTGCATTGTCGCTCAATGGCCTTTCTCTGCCGTAGCTATAATAAAATGTAAAAACTGATGCCTTGACTACATTGCAAACTCATTTCTGTATAAAAAGTGATGAAATTTCCGAGAAAACTGCACAAAGCGATCTCTGTCTTTTGTCGGTCTTGAATTATAACAGTAAACCAAAAGGATTTTTAATAGAAAGTTATATGTCTAAGCTTTTGGATGTGTAATATAAAAGCAATTTGTGATGCATAGAAGACAAATTCCCTAAAAAAGCATTTCTTATATCTAATCATTAAACAAATTTCTTTTTAACATTTAACCGTTCATGCATCGTAGATATATTCAACTAGATATGTATGCTTTCATATTTAACTTAAATATAATAGAATTGGGATAATCGGTCATAGAGTAAGTCGCGGTAGAGCGGCGGATATGATTACTGCGGTCACGTGCACTCGCACGCTTTCACGTCGTCCGACTGATGACGACCAAAATACAAGCAATCATCATCATACCACTCACTTTCCCTTTCTCTTGTTAACGAGACATCAATCATCGAGAAACTAAAAGGACAGGACAATGAAACTGAGCGATTGACAGATCATTACCCAAATAAATTATTCTATATTACTCACCAATAAACCAAACAATTGTAAAATATTTACAGGGGCTCGATGCTGGTTGGTTGAGGACTTACAGCTGGAAGTGTCAACCGGTTGATTTCTCAAGATCACCTGAAGCTATGAGAGTAATACATTTGTCTTAAGTTTAGTACTTCTACCAGTCCAGAACCTTCATCTAATTTTAAATACATCTGTTAATTTCAGGTCGCAAGAGGGGTTTATGTCTATTTCCTAGCGAAGATGTCCGAACTTCTAGATACGATATTCTTCGTCATAAGAAAGAAGAATAGACAGATCACATTCCTGCATATGTACCATCACACGGTGATGCCGATGATCTCTTGGGGTGCCACCAAGTACTACCCGGGTGGCCATGGAACTCTGATTGGTGTCATCAATTCCTTCGTCCACATCGTCATGTATACATACTACATGCTATCGGCGATGGGACCTCAGTACCAGAGATTCTTGTTCTGGAAACGGCACATCACCACCTTACAAATGGTACGTATTACGTACTTCCTCTCGCTTCAAATCCAGAGGAAAAGTGGAAATATAGAACTTCTTACATTAGGTGATGTATGAACCAGTAAAAGTAACATGTAACAACCGGCTGTCCCGTCATTTCTTATAAAAATGCTTTTAAATTTCCTAGATTTTAGGGTTCTTCTAATTTTATTTTAACTATTGATCATATATAATTTTTCTTTTTTTCCAGCTCCAGTTCTGCATAACCTTCATCCATTCATCTCAACTACTGTTCTACGACTGCGGCTACCCCCGATGGTCTGTCGTCTTCACGCTGCCAAACTCTATTTTCTTCTACTATCTGTTCTATGACTTTTACTACAAGGCTTATGGGAAACCCTCCGATAAAAAGGCAAAGAGTGAAGTAAAGAATGGCACTTGCGGTCAGGAGTATTCAGAGAAAAACGGTACAGCTAATGGTCATATAACAGATAAGAATTACAGTGCGTTCCAAAGCAACGGTGAGGTTAGAAATAAAATAAAAAAGGATAATTAAAATTTCGATTGAAGGAGATATTGTACATAGTAGATTATTGATTGTAAATAAAGAGAAGCTACGATATTATGATCTACGAAATAAATACGGATATAGTACGAATTGAGTTAAGAAGCCTCGTATGCACAAGTGATAGATATAAGGAGAAAAAAGTTACCAAGTTTTAATCGAATGACGATAGATGGCGGTTTTAAGCAATAGTTTTATTGTTTGAGAAAGTGAATCGCAGTAGAAGAAGGCCTTGCATAAAATATCTCATGATCAGAAAAGAGTACCTTGACTGTAATGACTATTGATAGATACGGTGAGAGATGAAGATATTCTATAAGTTGTTTAATGTTTTCTTAAAATACCTATAAATACTAATAATGTTAATAAATAACGCCATGCTACTGAAATCTTGATTGTCTTGCTTCTACGATATAAGAATTTAGGAATACATTTATCTAGGACTTTTAGATAAATATTATTCTATACATAGTGACAAAAACAAATATTATTCGTTAGAATGTACAGTACAGTACATAAACTATGAGAAATTTTGTTTTTAATAAATACCACTTTGTTAATGTTGTTAATAATACGATGTAAACAATATTAAAAACATAGTTATGTAATGAAATTATATAATTGTATTTTCAAATGATATTTTGTGTTTTAAAACTTCAAAGCAGTGGCAATGTCGTATTGTCATCGATCAAAAGTTTTTAATCAGCGCCCCCTATCGAACGTGAAGTACGCCAATAAATATCGTACAAAGTCGACGTTGTTACGAATATGTTTTCTCAACTATCATCAAACATTGATGATAGCAACAATAAGAATTTCAAATAAACTTTATTTAAAATATAATGAAATACATAGTCAATGTATAAGAATACTTGTTATTTTTAAATGTTAAGTGAAGAATTATTTGTATATATTTTGTTTTATGTTAATCTTAAAATAAACTGTGAATTAACAATGTGATATATTCGTTATTAAATTTTATCCTTGCTTAGTAGGTTTATTGTGGCAAACTAAGGCACTTACTGTACGAATTTCAAACATTATAGTTGTCTCATTTTACTTTGTTAAAGTCGTCTGTGTTGTTTACATCAATACATAGATGGCGTGTTACTAAAATAATTTTTATACGTAATATGTCACAATAATGTGAAGAATAATTAAGTAGTATAGGTGGTTTTTATGAAATTCATTTTATTAGAATTATTTTACAATTTGGACAATATGGAAGCGCATTTTACGACATGACAAGTTTATTATCACCCATCGTAATCAACGGTGTTTATAACTTTTGTTTTACAATTTATTAATTTAAAACTAGATGGCGCTGTTTTCAATTTAATTATTGACAAAATACATATCGTACTCATTCCAACAAATAAAACAATATAAAAAGACAATTGTATGCATTCAGAATCGCGTGGCTAGCAGCTTAGTGGAAATTGGCTCTAAGCCTCCATACTTACGGGGGTTTTTATAATGACCGTTGAAATAGAACAAATGCATTTCTTGCATTAATAAATATATCTGTTCATACTGCAGCGCTTTAAAAATATGGTACTTTTTTATTACGTAGTGCTACATTTTAAACGCTGGATGAATTATTTTAAGTTATTCTATGAGCTAGGCTGTCTTGAAAGAAATGTTGAAAATAAACTTACATCTCAAAGATACTAAAATTATGCTTAACTGTGCGGCGTTGTTTGAAGATGCTATTGTCCTGTATTGAATTATAATCAATATTTTACAACACATTTCAACTTTTATCGCCTTAATACTATAAATTGTATATTTGCAACATCTAATGCTAATTGTATTACGTATCGTTAACCAAATCGTTGCGATTTATTTGCAACATTGATATATTGCCTTGAGACTAACTGCTGTCTGCAAGAATATTTTATTGCTCATAAAACGCAGATTTATTTAATTGTCATTTGTTACATCATTGTTATTAAATGTAACGTTTTACAAAATGTTACATTGAGACAAAATGAAATAATATATCGAGGTTATAAGCTGCCAATCAGACAGGATATTTCATTATTTATTAAGTTAATTAGTGGAGAATAAAGTATAGTTAAGTAATCCATCTGTCTATATACATAATGTAATTGGAGTGTCTGTAATATCAAAAGAAAAATTCCAGATATCGGGAAGATGATGTATTTGCGTTGCTGATAACGAAAATCGTATTTCATTTTTTTGTCTGTCTGTCCGCAAGCTGCGTTTGGTCCGCGTAATCTCCGAAACAGCTAGGTCGACTTCGACGGGACTTTCACTGAGAGGATAGCTGACATGGTGTCCATGGCATGTTCCAGGCTACTTTTTTTAATTCCGCGCTGTCATAATGGCGTAATGGATGGTTCAAATTTGTGTTCAAATTTGCGGGCGACAGCTCTTATATAATAAAACAATACAAATATTTCCTCTTTATAATATTAGTATAGACGTCCCAAAAAAAGGTGGACATTAAAAATAACTTTAGTAATCATCGAGTTCAATAGATGGCGCTAAATTCATACAGGGTTTTGGACAAGTTAGTTTAGAAACGACAAACACTTCTTTAATAAAATAGTTCGCATTAATGGTGTAATTAGTATAACTGGTCGTAACCTTCAGTAGTTTTTCTTTAAAAATATTATACGTAAACTTTACGGTCAATAAACATTATTTAAATAAACATTTACAATTTAGTTTGGTTTTTTTCGAGTTTCTTCTTTTTTTAAGCAAAAACTCATAAACCCATTATGTGTTATTGTGAAATAATATTTTAACATTTAAACAACGAAGGAGTGAACAAAAAACGAAAATTTGAAACATAGTTTATTGAATTAAATTATTGTACACGTTTGATGTTCATTACTGAGGAACTGTAATTATAAATATTATAAAAAAAAAACTTTTCACTAATTCAATATTCTGTATGAAACATATTTACAATTTACCGTTACACATGTTTTACTTATTTTCATTCATTCAGCGTTAATTTTTAAGTATAAAAATTACTTAATATTAATTTAATAAATATTTTTTAACTAAAACAATTACTTAAATATAAGATTAAATTTACATTGAGCAAAATAAAACGGTTTTGATTCGCGAAGAGAAAATCTTAGGTAGACAGATTTGAATGGCTAGTAATTAATAACAAATTTCTATTTTAATTCCGCATGAAGCCGCGGGCGATAGCTAGTACGTATATTTATGTACTAGCTATCGCCCGTGACTCTTAATGTATAATAGAGTAAACTGGACTTAAGTAGTAAACATCCAAAATTATAGCAACCCGGATTTTTATCAATTATTTCTATGCAACTAAAGCTTACCACAACTAGGACATAACCAATCATTTTATACGCATATTTCTATATGACAGTTTTAACTGAACACTTCCATTGATCAGTTAAAACTGAGCGTCTGTAACTTTTAGTGTATTTCTTAATTAAATGTTATTTATTCTGACATTAGATTACAATTCTTTTTCTTTTATTTCCTCTAACACATTTACCGCGCATACATTATTGCTTGCTTTCGATTTACGATTATAGCTGTGACGGTAGAAATTTAAGAAAAGAACGAGGAAGAAGCCGGTGTTGCAGGCAACGAAAGTGGCGACACCCTTCGCTGGTGGACATTCGGAGTTCCTAACCGCTGACACGTATTGTATGATTATGCACACAAATTGTACCTGAAACAATAAAAAAACAACTGACGACTGCTATTTGACGTAGGAAGTGTTAAACACGACATAATATATGTCCGTTAAAAAAGTGTCGGTATTCGAAATGTACATTTTTTACAAGACAAGCGTTAAAAGTTTTTAAATCTATTTTAATTATTTTTTTCCTTCAAAATGTACACAGAAGTATTATACGTCAATTTCATAATCCATATGAAAATATTGCTAACAGTAGGCTCTTTTTAGTAATCACCTAATTTGCAGAGAATTTAAAAAATGAGGTTTTTCTTTTAATCGACGATATGACAATATGACATGAGTATCGCATTTTTAACACCCCATATACATTGTAATGCTAAAATGTCGCACGTCATTCACAAAGATGTTCAACTTTGAACAAAACATATTCTAAGTACTTGATTATGAGGTAAATATTTATTATAAACAAATGTATAAATGGTACAATGAATGAAATTGTACAGTCAGCAGCAAAAAATGTATACATTTAAAAGCTTCTGAAACATGCATATGTCTTCAGTTTTAAGAAAATATACGCAATTAACTGTCCACATACTTCCAAATATGAATTCATGTAATTTGTAAAAACGTCTATACGTATTTTAGCATTTAAAAGGTCCTAAAGTTTTGTTAATACGTAAATGTCTTTGAAGCTGACTGTACATGTAAAAACTCACCAGCTGAAACTTCGTCATGTATTTCTTCCAGAACAAATACTTGGCGACATTCGGGCCTAGAGCCGACAATCCATAGTAAGTGTACATGAAAACGTGCACGAGGGAGTTCAGGAAGCCGATGAAGATGAGAGTATGCGATGGCCAGTACTTGATGTAGCACCAGGTGCCAATCATCATGATGGAGTGGTGGTACAGATGGAGGAAAGTGACTTGATTATCTTTCTTCCTTAACACAAAAAATACAGTATCCAGTAGCTCGGTGACTTTAGCTGCGAAGTATAGCCAAATTCCTATCAGGATCTGGAAAAAAATACACGTACAGTCAGGAAACTCCGTTGTGTGCCAATTACAGAAATAATCCGAGGTAGCCGTTACTGGAAACGGAATAACAATCAAAAGCAATTAGTCAATTAAGGAATTAGATCAACCTTTTTTCGTTCTGCCTTATATTCACATTGTGTTCAAAACATTTAATCGACCACCGCCAGATTACCCGATTGTACTACTACATTTCCATACCTGTTTACTTTAAATTTCTCGTTTTCATACGTTTCCTCCGATGACGTTTATTCAAAACATCGAAAATACTCATAATAATAAGCAATACATGCAAATAATAATTGTAAAATAAATATTTTTAAAGTAAAATAACTTACGTTGTTTCTGTATTCGACATCCTGTATGTAACATTTCTTTGGCGTCAATCCAATGTCAATTAAATTCATTAAATACTGAAAGAAACATTGAATATTCATATAAATTACGTTTAATATGAAAAATAATGAAAACTTCGAGACAACAATTGATTCTTTACATTTTTTCACTTTAAAAAGCGCGTGTTTTTAAATAATATAGTTAAGGAGGTTTCGACTATTGTCGTGAAAGCTCTAACACAAGCTTTAACTTGATTTTAAGTGTTAGTAAGTTAAGAGAATTACGCTTATATATCTCAATATATCCTGTGCGTCTGTTCCTCCGTCAATTATGGTAAGGGGAGGCAATGCATCTGCAATTGCGGATGTCTATAGGCAGCGGTCGCTTCGCTATTTCGGTGGATTCAGGTGCCGCTTGCTCTGCTACATACATAAAAAAAGAAAAATAACAAACTTACCCTTTGAACTAAATATACAGATATGACGACTTGTATTCCGTTGTATAAGAGCAGGGTAGTGTTTAGTTTAAATGGTTGTCGCTTCGTCATCAAAGCTGGTCCTATCTTAAGCACGAATACTAGATATGTGGCCAGTATGGTCAACACTGGACCTATACTTCCTAGAAGTGGTAAGCTATCAACTTCGTCATCTAAAAAAAACATTACAGATTAAATATGAAATTTTGAAATAAATGCACGGCAAATATACCTTTGATTAAAATATTTATATTCTCTTTAAAAGATGTAACTAATTTTTGCCAGTGGTAGTGCCCGTTTTAACATCTTAGCACGAATAAGCTGGCACGCCCGGTGTAATACCACGACCACACAGTAGACAGGCGTAAAATGGAAGCAATTCCGTGTTTCGTCTAATGATTGTGGTGCCCGAGGCCTAATTTAAGTCCCTTTCTCTTTACCACCCTTTTCTTTTAAGGAGAAAATGGGAAGGTGAAGTGGATTTGACGGAGGAGGAGATGCATAGGAAGGGCAAATGTCTTTTTTATATGCGCCTCCTCTGTCGGATAAGGGTAGATAACGCATCTGCAATTGCGGATGTCATGGGCAGCGGTCGCTTCGCCATTTCGGCGGATTCAGTTGGCCGCTTGCTCATTTGCCACCTTATGTAATAAAAAAAATTGTCCTTTATTATAATAGAATTCAGTGTTTCTGAAGCAATGGTTATGTCAAGTTAAGTACTAAAGTTCATAGAAGGGGTCAGTAATATTTAACTTTCGGCGTTTATTTTTGGCACACACAGATGTCCGTGAAAGGTGGAAAATTTTGACAACTCTTTACTGTGACGCTGGTAGGACCTCGCGCTTTTTTACGTGATTTAATTTAACTTAAAAAATATTATGTAGGTTAAGAACATCCGAAAGTTGTTTTCTGGTCAAGGTAAAGTTTAAAATCAATTACATAAACGAATGTTTTTTTGTTTACGTCCCTAAATATTCGAATTTTATTATTATTCTTTGAATCGCTTGACCTTCATTATGCAATTTTATAAGAGTAAACATTCGTTGTAAAGCTAACCCTGATCTCCAAGCACTGAACCCTTTTAATTATTCGTATTATGTATATTTGTTAACCTTTCCTAATTGTCTATCTAGCAAAAAGATACAAAGATCATAGCCTTGTATCATGCCCTGAATGAACGCGTAATTCTATTGTTTTTATATACAAGACATTTTTTCTTAAACAGTTTTAAAAAACTGCTTCAGTCCAGCTAGGGAAAGGGCCAGGTGGGGCGATCGTCCAGGGCCTCAGACCTTAAGAGGCGCCATCGTAGCATCGAGGGGTGCCACGGGGACGTTACTACGTATGGGTTCATATCTCGCCCAGGCCGCCGGTGATGCTAAAACCGGCCTTGTTTCAGGCAAAGTAGTATGTCTTTTACATTATAAATAAAAGCGACAAATAACGTTGTACGTCAATACGGTCGTAACATGCGTCATCAGGGGTAGGCCTAGGTTAGGTCAACGGCCGGCGGCACAAACGCGAACCACAAATTCTAACTAAATTAAAGAGGAAAGTCTCAAAATCCATAATAACACATGTCATGGTGTTTGGATATGAATCTAGAGCAGTTAAAGGGACGGATGAAAGTGCATTCACATTTCCGTCACATATAATTATTATATGTGGAAATGATAATGTTAAGATCGTTGTGTGGGGTAACACAAATAGATAAGATACAAAACGAATATATTTGAGGAAGTCTTAAAGTAGTTCCAATGGTACGGAAATTAAGATCCAAAAGACAGAAAACTAGAATAGTGTGGGAATGTTATGAGGAATAGGGTATCTCTTGTGTCAAGAACTATAGAAATTAATAGAAAATATGGATGGATTGCGTAGAGAGTGACAAGATTAGAGGTGACGGTTGAAATAACGAAAGATAGATAAATCTGGATGACGAAAACCTGACCCTACACTAGTGGGACAAAGACAGAAGTATGAAGAAGACGGAATTTTGTATGTGTGCCATGAAGTCATGTAATTAGTTTCACTTTAAAACTGCAGCAATTTACTAATATTGAATTCAATTCACATAATGAAAAAATCATGCCGATATAAGTAAGCAAATGTTTTGCAAACTTAATACAAAAATGCTTATCCATAAACAAAGCCGAACGACCAATAATTACAATTCAATTTTATAATTATTCATCTTATTGATTTATTTATCCTTAACAAGTGCGAAATGCAAATCAATGTGTTGTTTTACACTTATTGTTATTATTAATTGTTGATACCAACAACCCTAAACCTAATAAAAGTGTGTAGGTACCACACTACTTATCTCAGATAAGTTAATTGTGCTGAAAACCACCGCAGAGACAACCTTGGTGTTTCCTGTATACATTGACTAGTTTTTATTATGTAAACTGTTAATTCATAGGCACTTACATTGGCTTTTATTGAGGTTCCATTCCGGGATTCGAAGTTCAATAGCCACACTAGAATTCATATTGTATGATCCTCTTGCGTCACCTGAGAACAAATCGGATACCTTAATTTGGATTCGCTTCTGTCACACCACGAGCCACTTTACCGCACCGACTTGAGACGAATACTAAATGACCAATATGTAAGCAAACTGATGTATATATACAAATGTTAGTTAGCGAATAAAGATACCTAAATGATACAAATTCAATCCTTGACTGAGGCAAAGTGCTCGAACAAATACGTACAAGAATTTTGTATTTATTAATGAGGTTATGAAAGTCTTTCGAATCACAGTGTCATTAAGAATCTTAAATGTTACAAGAAATTTTAATAAAGTTACAAACTATAGTAATCACTAATTAGTTATTAATTGAAAATTGAACATATTTAATTACAGAACCAGGTTTTTAACTAATTAAATAATTAAAATACTTATTTGTATAAAATTAATGTCATCGTGTCTTTTACAATTTAACTTTGTAACTTTTCTCACGTGTTTTGTTTATTTACTTCGTAAAAAACTTCTTAATTTATTCTAAGAGTCGTCGTTTTATGTTAATTAAAAATGAATTTTCAATTTAGGAATATTAGCAGATTTTTTTAATTATTTGTAGGTATCTTTCAACCGTTCCAAGTAAGCTTTCGGCTTCTGCTAGGATACTGTTCACGACAATATTTGAATGACGAGGTTCGAACCCATGACTACTTGATAGAATGTTCGTAATCTAGCCACTGTGAAATATTATTGAATTTATCCTTTAGTAAACATTCATCGGCTATACGGCCTCACTGAGGAGTTTGGAGTCTACCCTAAGTTAGAGTGATTAGGCCATATTCAACAGTGATGCCCGGCTGCATGTCAATTGATTTCACACACATCCTTTTTCTTCACATATATGCGCAGGTTAGATCACGCTATTTTTGACCCTGACGTCGGATAAATGTAACTATATACATTTGAAATTCGAACACAGAATCTGCAGATTACAAGTCAAGTGCTTAACTCCTGAGCTATCGACTCTCCGAAGCAAACATTAGTCATTCAATTAAAAAAAAAACTACCTCTCTGATTCTCCAGTGCAGTTTCTCCGGTTCCACCATTTAGGCTCATCATCATCGACCTTTATTTGCCCACTGTTGGACATAGCCAGTGTCGTTTTGTAAATTTTATTTATGTTTAAAACAAATGAAAAGATATCCAAGTAATTCATGCAGTCACTAGAAGTTTAAATTGTGACATATCTTTACTTAGGTAACGCTAATTTTTTGGTTATTTATTATTTATTAACGCTTAAAAAACCTGTGTTTTTATAGTCCATTGACGTATATAGGGTGCTCGTAATATGTTTTATTCTATGCATAAGGAAGTGTTAAAAAGATCATGTCTAGAAAAATTCCGTCTTTGATTGTCGCGGTTTGATTGTCGCGGTTGCGCGATAAAAAAGTCTACAAAAAAATGATTGGAACTATTTTTGCCATTTTATTGCGTATTATGATCAACGTTATTAAAAAGTTACATAAAATAATAACTAGTTATATATAAAAGTATAACAAGTTACTATAATTAAGTAAGCCACAGTTATTTTAATTACCATTTGATATAAAATGCTCAAGAATAGTTTAGATTATTTTTGGTTTTATTAAAATGATGTTTTAAAATAATTTTGTACGATGTGATTCAGATAAGATTTAATAAATAATGCTATGGTAGACAGAAAACAATCACAAAATTGTTGGGGCTTGTCGAGTTATTTTTTATTATGCTAGTATATTCTCAATGCCAAAGTAACAATGCTCTTTATCATGGCGATATATCCACTTCGTCAAACATGACAGAATTCCCATAAATTTAAATAAAAAAACCATAGTAAAATTTGCTAATTCCGTTTGTTTTTTACAACAATTCGATTTAGTTATATTATATTTTGAAAATAAAATTGTGTTTATTTTAATAATCAATATTTTTTTCATTATTATTACTTTGCCACTTTGTTTTAAGTTGGTTCTTCTAGAAACGTAGTACAATAACAATAAGTAATAAAAATAATTACAATACTAAAAGAGATTACCCAACTTAAAAAAACGGCATAGAATTGTTAAATGCAATTTCTTATTTATTTTAAAGAAAATAACACGATCACAATACTACATCGTTAATTTAAAATTTGTGGGTTTTTATAGTATCTGATATGCGTTTTGAATAACAAAGGGCGGGTCAATGCCCGCGATTTGTTTAAAACGTTATACTCCTAACTAAATGATACTTTTTAAGCTCTGAAACTGTACGATTGATTTGCTTATCTGCACCCAATTATCACACGACCTAGCAGGCTCACGGTTCCATTTTGAAAACTCTAAGAGGTCATCAATATCAGCTTTACGTCCCCACTGAGGAGCTCTGACTCTACTCTAGGAGTGACTAGGCCATATTCAAACAAGCTGCCCCACTGCGGGTTGGTTGACTTCACACGTAGCTTATGTGCAGGTCGCTTCACGATATTTTGAAGAACGTTGGGAAATCATCTGTCTGTATACTAGGCAGAAATTCAACAATTTTAATTCGTTTAATATTTACACTGACAAGTTACTCTAAGTACTTATGTAAGAATCTTTAATTGTAATGTTAACCTCTAGAAATCCAGAACATGCAAAATAAATACAAAGAAATGAAAAGAAATGTCATCTTTAAGGCATCTGCAACATTCATCTTGTTACAGATGTTGCAGATGTAAGCATAAGGCGGCGGTTACTTTGTTACTTCAGTTATACCAAGTTGCCCCTTTTTTCCACCTCCTCAAGTTATATAATAAGTTACGTCTAAATTTTTTGACCGACTTCCCAAAAGAAGGAGGTATTCAATTCGACGATATGTTTTTTTTTTTATGTGTGTTACGGCATAACTCCGCCGCTAGTGGACCGATTTGGATAATTCATTTTTTTGTTTAATTTTTGGAGTCTAAGACTACGACGTAGTTAAATAGTTTAGCTCAAAATCGCGCGACGACATTTCGGGTCATTTTTGATTTCTTTGCTTACGTAGCCTAAACTATAAGACTTACATAAAAATGATTACTAGTTTTCGCCCGTGACTACGTTCGCGTGGAATTAAAAAAAAACAAAGGTAGCCTATGTGTTCTTCCAGACTATCCTATGCATCGATACCATATTTCATCGAAATCCTTTCAGACGTTTAGGCTACAAACTCTAAAAAACAACCATCCATCCATCTATCTAAACTTTCGCATTTATAATATTAGTATGAGTAACATAATTAGTTATTGTTAATTCGGTATAGTCGGTCAAGGTAGTGACATTTATATGTGAGATATCTTGTTATATCAATAACAAAACAATTGGTATACGTAAATACCCAGTTACGTTCTATTTCCTACCTGACTTCGATAAGCAAGCATTCATCAACATAGTCCTAGTGATATCTTATAAGTCCTCTTTTGAGAATAATTTACAATATACTCAGTTGTCATTTAAACAAAACCACGTAACAAGCCATTCGAATAAAAAAATATTCATGAAAATTAGACAACCAGGAGCGGAGTTACGAAGTGATAAAAATAAAAAATGAACTTACAATCCTCCTTATTTTTAATTAAGTTACAAAGTAATAGGGCTTCAAGTTGATTTTGAAAGACGAGATCAAAATTCTAACATCATTATGTTTTAAATGTTGACTTTGAAATGAAAGTCATCGAATAAATAAGTGTTCAATAATTTAAAAAAAATTGCTTGTTGGATAAAATATTTTATTTTGTAAATTGTTAATTATTTGTGTGTATTAAACATTCTTAGTGAAATAATAAACTGAAAATGTTTACAAAATTTAAAATAAAATTATAAACGCACCGAATTAACGGCTACCAAAATATCAGATAATAAGTTAGATAAATAATGAAAAACACATACTTACAAAGAATAAACAGGAGTTCTCGTTCTCACTGAAGACCAAGGTATATTTTTTTATCACTTAAAATTATTAATTTTATGGCGATAAACTTTAACTTGCCGAAGTCTTATTTCGTTCTGCGTTCGTTACAATGTGTACATGTGACAAAACCCGTCTCGCTTTTATCGACCGCCTTAAGGGTCGAGACACACTAGGGAAATAATCATATGAACAATGAGAAGACGATACCTATCATACTAATATTATGAATGCAAAAGTTTAGATGGATGTATGTATGTTTGTTAGAGTTTGTAGCCTAAACGGTTGAACGAATTTCGATTAAATTTAGTATAGATGTAGAAGGTAGTCCGGAAGAACACATAGACTAATCACTTTTTTTCTAATTCCACGCGGACGGAGTCGCGGGCGAAATCTAGTTAGTACATGTCAATTTATCTGATGTATCTCGGGTTACACATAAATAAAAAGGGAATGCCTTTTCAGATCTATAACTTTTGTCTTTTCCTTCTTTCGTAAAAAGATAAAGAAAATATGAATCAAGTCTCCGACACCATTAAATTACCACGTGGCGCGGAATACTTCAACTCTACGCCCGTTTCTATTCGGATCTATTCATTATCATTTCGTCCTGGCTTAAAAGAAAATACTTAAAACGTAACATAGAATAATCTTAGTAAAAACATTGAGACGAACCGGAAAAATCAGTTATCAATTTTCCGTTTAAACGGTTAGTACAAACATTTGCATGACATACAAGTGTTTGCTTGTATGTCATGCAAATGCAAAAGCATGTCGCTTAATACTCAAAGTATCTTACGAAGTCTTTAACGTTACTTTTTATGAATACTTTATTGATTCTCTACCATTTATGTCAAAGGTCGTCATCATCCAAACTTATAATAAAAAAATATCAATTAGTTACCTGTTGCCGATACTTATAAGTATTCAAAAATATGCAACTAGATAGAGAAAAGTTATCTTTAAAATTTTAGTTATTCCAATAAACATGTCACACAAAAAAAATAACTCTAGTATTCAGTTTAGTAGTATCATACTAATATTATAAATGCGAAAGTGTTGATGGATGTTTGTTAGAGTTTGTAGCCTAAACGGCTGAACGGATTTCGATTTAATTTGGTATAGATGTAGAGGATAGTCTGGAAGACCATATAGGCTATTAGAACACTCGAAGGGAGTCGCGGACGAAAGCTAGTTATTCATAAATATGTAATTTACATACTTCCCGCACAATAACTGCACGATACTACGTCTTACATTTTCATTGATAAAATGCAGTCTTACGGCCAAATACTGGAACGAAACCTAAATACTTCGTAGAATTTGAGTTTGAGAGTTAAAAGTTTAACCGTGGCCTTATCATATAAGACGCTGTTATTTATTAAAATAACGTTTCATTGTTTAGCCGTTAGTCTCATGTCCATGTTTTACAGCATTTTCTGATATTTTTATTTGTTAATAACTTTATCATTGTTAAGTAAAACAAAAATTACTTTAACATCGTACTTTTTTTCTTTGTTACTTGCTTTTTATTTGTTTATGATAAGTAAAAAATAACCGTGAATAAATATTCGCGTGTAACATGTGCATCTGTTGTTTCATGGTTTTTTTTTTGTCTCAGAGACACAGATAAAAATTAAGGTCATTCGCATTTTGTTTATATTCACACATTTCAATAACAACGATAACAACAAAATAACAACGATAACTGGCTTCTTTCCTTGTAAGAAAAGGGTGGAAAGGGAAAAGGACTAAAATTAGGTCTCCGGCACGCAAGCAAATCAGACGAAACGCGCTCCTTCTTTATGCCTGGCGTCTATGTGGTCGTGGTATTCCTGGGGTCAGCCCGGCCCTACAGTACGAAGATGTTATAGCGGGTTCTATCACTGTTTAATTATAAAATAACAAAGTTCACAGCCTTTAAGTGACATAATTATCAAGTAGGTACCATCAGTCTATAAGCGTTTTTTTATAATACAAGGTTGCAAACGAGCAGGCGGCCATCTGAATCCACAGAAATGGAAAGCGGCCGCTGCCCATAGACATCCGCAATTGTAGATGCGTTGCCTACCCTAATTGACGGAGCAGTAGATGCACATAAAGAGGACATGTCCCCTTCCTATGCGTCCTCTCCACCATCAAATCCACTTTTCCTTCCGATACTTTCCTCTTAAGAAAAGGGTGGAAAGGGAAAGGGACTAAAATTAGGCCTCCGGCACCACATTCATCAGACGAAACGCGGAATTGCTTCCACTTCACGCCTGTTTTCTGTGTGTCGTGATATTACACCGAACGAGCCGGCCGATTCTTTCGCCATTATTAAACTCTATTATCTATTTTTACATCAACAGGAAGGGTATTGATATGTCAGAGAAGATATCTAACGTGTTCTTTGTCGACCAGGCAAAGCTGGGGCGGTTCCCAAGTCGAGTAACAGATAATTAAAATATTAAGGGCAAGCGTAAATTGTCTGATAACAATCCATCGTGTAAAATGTGTAATGGAAATATCGGATTCTGTTACCTTATCTGACAGTGATGTCATTTTTAAGCTATCTGAGCCTCTATCAGCTAGTGGCGGGACCCTAAAAGTAGTAATATAAATTACAGATTACTCTTTGTATTAACTATTAATAGCAAAAAAACTGTTTTGTTTTTTTGGTAAATTGTTATTTTTTAATAATATAACGTTAGGCTGTACACTTTGCCTTGAGTGTTTTTTCTTAAATTTTTAAGTAATGTTATGTGACACCAAATAAAAAATGTACATTAATTTGGCCTCAACACTTGACTAGGATTTTTTTAACCTACGCTTGATTGAAATTTGAAAACAATTTAATTATTATTTTTATTGTTATGTTTTGTTTAGTCGACCCTTATGTGAAGTGACTCTACGATCTGTTCTCTCCCGAAAACACACGACTACATAATTGGTCACTGACCTCTGTAAAGAGATAGGTTATAAAACGTGGCATATTTGCGCTGATGGTCGCAATTGGTGGCGGTGGTAAGAAATCGAAGTAGTAATCGATAGAATTAATTGTCATTTAAAGCTGCAGATGCGTTTAAGTCGAAAATTAATCAAATTTTAAAGCAATCACCATTTGTACAGATTTATTTGCTCGTTTACACAATTGTAATCCGACGATGTTTGCAAAGGTTAAGAAATTATATATAAAAACGTCGAATTATAAAAATCTAACTAATCCTTTGAATAAACTTACGCAGAATGCGATTGTCGATTGTTTCGCAGTCAACTGCGAACTGTGAACTGTATAGTTAGTTGCATTACTAAACAGACTCGACTCCATATAATCTCATAGGAATCAAAGCGCGACTAAACAGTTGTGCGAAAGTTAGGCAAAGTTTTGCGCGCGCTTACAATAGTTTGAATTTCTTTATATAGTCTCCACTTTATTTTAAATCTATTGTAAGTTTTCATGCCACCAATCTAAATTTTATTGAATCAAAAATTAAGCAACGAATACACTTTTATTGCATTAAGTGTATACTGTCGAAAGTTGACACTATCAAAAAATGTCAGGATGAAGAACACATTTATCTATGAAATACTGCAAATAACAGAGTTATTACACAGTAATAGTTTTATAGTAGGCAATTTATATACGTAATTATTAAACATTGAAAAACAAATATGTTTCATTAGCATGAACGGCAAAAAATATACACTTTTAGATGCTTATATAATAAATATAAAATAAATAACAAGTACCTACTTAAAACGTTTCACGCACTGGCAATTAAACCGTTATATAACATTTGAAGTGTGGAAAAAAATTTAAATTGTTAAAAACATACATTGAATAATTAAGTACCTACTGAAATTTAAATCAATGAATCATAGACAATCAGGTAAATACTAACATTAGAATTAGTAAATGTGCAAGCTTGTGCTATAAAAACTTAAACATCGATACAGCGCCATCTATTACTTGGCAGCGTAAACATTGCATTATTTTACTTTTCAAACAAAAAGCAAGATTAGGAATTAAACTGTTAGAGCGGGCGCATACCATTGACTAAATTATCGCACAACTGTTGTGCGATTGTCGATTGTTTCGCAGCTCATTCAACTGTTTAGTTGCAGAAATACGATCGAGTAATGTGTGCACTTCTAAGCTCATAGGAGTAAGTTGACACGCTGGTATAATCTTTTTTTTTATAACATTTTTTTTTTTTTATAACATAAGGTGGCAAACGAGCAAGCGGTCACCTGAATCCGCCAAACTGGTGAAGCGACCGCTGCCCATAGACATTGCGGATGCGTTGCCTTAACCGACGGAGGAGCAGACGCACATAAAGAGGATATTTCCCCTTTCCAACGCGTCTCCTCCACCCTCAAATCCACGTTCTTTTGGACCCAAAAAGGGATTAAAGTTGAGCTTCCGGCTCCACACTCATCAGACGAAACGAGGAATTGCTCTCACTACATATGTCTTCTGTGTGGTCGTGGTATTGCAATGTGCGAGCCGACCCATTCATGCAAAGATCTTAAAGCGGGCTCTTCTACTGTTAAATAATATAACAGTGGTAGAGTTTAATAAATAATCTTTAACATGGTATAATTGTTAACTGCATATTTTATACATAAGTAAACTTAATTCATGGCAGTAATTGAACATATATTATACAAGTTCCCTGGTAATTAGTAGCGTCAAACAATTTTTAAACTTTGTACCAAAGAAAAATATATATTTTTACCATAGAAAAAACATATTTACATACACATATACTTAATTCTTATATTTACTTTACGTAGTAGATTAAAAAAAAACGAAACACCCTGCTGACTAAAAATGTAATAGATACAGTCTAGTGCTATCTATAGGGTGCACTTAAATATTTTTGGTCTTAACTAAATTTTTTATCTTTATTTTTTATCCTTATCGTATTTTAAAACACACAATGTATTTGGAAAAAAATATTCAGTGATATTAAATGAACTGTATGAATGAGAGTGTAAGATTTCATGTAATCACATAGTAAAAATCTACTTTTTTTATAAGAAAAGTAGGCAAACAAGCGGCGAGAATACAGAGGTGGCCAAGATTTCTATGGACATCCGCAACACAAGAGGAACTACTGATGCGTTGCCTTTGAGGAAAAATAGGTATACATATTGAATCACAATGGGTATGTCTGTACCTATGTAATATTGTAAAAAATAATATTTAATTACATGTTTTTATCGTTTATTATAATTAATTAAAATTATTTTGAAATGTAAATTACTAACAATCGCTAAGAATAATAGGACGTCCTGTGAATATAAAAGTTTTTTTTTATCATTACTAACTAGTGATTGGAACTGTGTTTATTTACAAACTAGCTGGAGCCCGCGATTTTGTCAGCTTTCAATAACTTAAGTCACTTTATTTATGTGCATTTAGTGTTTAAATTCCTAATTTCTTTTTTTGACGAATGAGGTATCTTTTAATGGAATGAAAAATATCTTTATTATATCTGACAAAAAATTGCAATTAGCAATAGATTAATAACTACCTTAAAATTTTGTTTCCTTTTTAAAGGTACATCCTGTATTATGCATAATTCAAAAATCATATAACACGACCAAATATATTTTAAACTAAAATAATAAAAAAAACAGAATACACATACGGGGCTGAATTTACAATTGTAATAGAGGTCAAGTCGCTTCGATACAAAGTATCTTAAAGAATACAACGGACTAACCTAACGTCCTTTGAACAATTTTACAAAATCCTCTTATAAATACTTTATTTGTTACAAAAAGTAGAAGTAGTGTGGACTTAATTAGAACAAAACAACATCACTTGGAGCGTGAACGTTCATTGCTTGGTGTTATTTTATTTAATTTACTTTTTGTGAATAAATAGGCCATAATTAAATTAAATCTTTCAAAACATAGTACAATTATTAAAATGGATTTACTACAAAGAAATGAAACTTTAAGAGACAACAGTGTTTGGAATTTCAATGGGAAAGGTAAGATTTTTCACTATTTGTTATCTAACTAGCTGCTCAAGACTTCGTCCGCGTGAAATTAAAAAATAGGATAAAACGTAGCCCATGTTACTGATAACGTAGCTTTTTAATGATGATATTTTTAAATCGGCCCAGTAGTTTTTGAGTTAATTCAATACATGCAGATTTTTTATAACAGAACAGACAGAAATACAAATATATCTTCTTTGTAATCTTACTTCTCACTAATCTTATAAATGCGAAAGTTTAGATGGATGAATGGATGTTTGTTAGAGTTTCTGAGCCTGACCGGCTGAACGGATTTCGATAAAATTTGGTATCGTTGTAGAGGATAGTCTGGAAGAACACATAGGCTATATGATATAGCCGATTTGATTTTTCTTATAATCGATATGTATGGCAACAGCGACTTTGTAATTAATTATACTATTAACTATAAATTGCAACTGTAGTTGAACGTTCATTAAAATGTTATTTTACTTTAAGATTATTATTTTGTACTGTCACCTTTTTAAGTTAACGTTTCGTAACTTTACCGTTGATTAGTTATAAAGTCTTTAAATACTGGTATTAAAGGCATAAACCAGTAGTAATAAATAATAAATAGTACGTTTTACAATGTTTTACAAAATACATCGTCTGTTCTGATTTTTGTTTTTAAATTTAGTGTATTTATTGTTAACGTCGATAATAACTACTCCTAATGCAATTTCAATAGCCCTAAAATGTTTTGTTAAGCAAGTAGTATGACTATTTAATTTTGATATTGTACTTTTTTTTACAGTGGATTACATAGACCAATGGTTTTTGATGAAAACACCTCTACCACTGGTTTTCGTGACAGCTTCCTATCTTAGTTTCGTATTAAAAGTTGGACCAAAATTGATGGAATCAAAAAAACCTTTCAAGTTGACAACACTTATAACGATCTACAATATTCTACAAGTGGCTTATTCTTGTGCTCTGTTATACATTGTAAGTATCAATAAAACAAAGAAATGATAATACATTAAGGACCTTCTTAAGTAGACGCATTGACGTAGAGAGTAGTCATATAGACACGGTCTTTATTTTTTGCTTAATGTTGATAACTCTATCAGTGAATTAAAACGGTAACTTCTGTATTTTATATATAAAGTGGCAAACAACCAAGTTGCTACCTAATTTCGGTAAAATAGCGACCTCTGTCGATGTCTTCTACAAGTTAAAAGGTCAGTGAACTTCAGTTTATTATGTTTGTTAAGATAGTGCTTCACCACTATTCCAATTTAAAAAAGTGATGACGCAGTCAAAAGATAGTACGCGCTAGCTTTTAAGTAGCTGTTTACTAAAAATACTCCTCTTTATAAAAAATATTTATTTCAGATAACTAATTGTTTGCATTGCAGGGTTACAATTTGATATCGACCTACGGGCTGCTGAGTTCGTCTTGTCTCATGGAAGCAGAAGACTCAAAGTGGAATGTAAGGCTTCTGAGGGTCGATTACAAATATTTGCGTGACAGAACATACTCGTAATGCCATCGACAACATTTCTATAATTTGCTGGTTTACTTAACATCCAGTTTATAAAATTGTCGGTGACTTTACCTAAATAATCGAACTGAGTTTCGTGATTTGTCATCTGATATTATAAATGTACCAGTCGTTTATGAAGCTCGTCAGTTCACAATAGTAGATATGTTATGTTGAAGATTTTTTTGTGATTTTAGTGTAATTTATTATTTTTTGCTTGCGACCATCATACTTGTAGGTACATAATGGAACAGACAGACTTATCAACATACATACTGTCGAAAAACATTGCCCTGTCGTCAGTCCGGCTAAAGAGCACGGCACTGCCCCCACATTAACATCCTAATCCATTATTTGTAGGTAGAATCATTGAACTTCATTTATTATTCAGTTTGATTTTAAATAGCGCAAGAAGTACAATTACTTATTAAAGTGAAAATGGGCCTTTACATGCCTTTAAATTGAAGAAGTCTTTTGTATATGTACGTTTAATTAGGAAATCTGATGAGGGAAGGTCAAACGCTTAGGATCTTAGCCTATAAGAAGAATTTTATCGTTACAGGTTACAACGGGCATTTATTACTACTTCTTCGCCAAAGTTACTGAATTATTGGACACAGTTTTCTTCGTTCTTCGTAAGAAATATAATCAAGTGACGTTTTTACATATCTATCACCATACTCTCATGATGTGGGCAACTTGGATATCGTTGAAGTACGAACCTTCCTACGGCACCATATTCCTCGGAACATTGAATTCATTTGTTCACATCATCATGTATTCGTACTACGCTTTGTCAGCGTTTCCGGAGCTGTCAAAATATTTGTGGTGGAAGAAATACATTACTATGATGCAGTTGGTAAGTATCCTTTGAAATAAGCTAACAGTGTGCACAAGATGAGGGTGGCACAGATCCGGGAATAGTGACAATTGGGGGAGGTCTACGTTTAGCAGTAGACGACCTAACGGTGACAAAGATAATGATGAATTATATTAGACGCCAGCAATAATGTTACATGAATAGCCGCGCCAGGTGCTATACAACGACCACACAAAAGACAGTCGTCAAGTGAAAGAGTTTCGTTTGAAGAGTGTTGCATTACTGAGGACTAATTTTAGCTCCCTTTACCTTCCCACGTTATTCTTGTAAGTGAAGGATGAGGAGAGGATGTGGATTTTACGGATGAGGGGACGCATAGGAGAGGTGTAATCCGTTTTCTGAGCGTTCTTTCTTCAATTTATTAAAGATAAGACATCTGCGATTGTGGATGTCTATGTGCAGCTGACTCTACTTCTGGGAATTCAGCGACCGATTGCTTGTTTGCTACCTTTTGGTTTACAAAAATATACAAAACACTGAACATAACATATGCGAAATTTATTTTTGATTTGGAATACATTGTTGATAATCTACATTTTTGTTACAGATCCAATTCTTATGTATTATTGTCCAAGCGGGTGCGAGTCAATTCTTCTCCGGCTGTCCTCCCTCTTACACCTTGTTAACGACGATCATGTTTAACGCTGCATTGTTCATATATTTATTCGGTAAATTCTACATCAACTCGTATCGTAAAACACAGAAATCAAATATAAAGAAGACTTCGTCAGGAAATTGCGTTATGCCAATAAATACAAAAGTAGATTAATTAATTTTATTGATACTAGTATAAGCAAAATTTTAATTTACACTGAATTTATTTTATTTAATAAAACATTTTATTTTATTATTTTGCATATTTTGATTTCTTGACTGTCACTGAATTTTTGATGTTATGGTTGAGATTTGTATAAATTGCTGACATTACAGATATCGCTTGTTTGTAATTTACCTAGGTAAATTGTAAACGAGAACTGGATATCGAATCCTTAATTCTCTAACTGTTTAATGATCATGTTAGGCATTAATATCATCGATAGTCCCACCTATGCGCAGTTATCTATACTATTATAATAAAGCGTAAACACACACTTCTTTGTTGCCTAAGATGTTAGCAATTACAGCATATTTTTGAATAATTCTTTTTTTAATAAAAAGCCCTACAATTGCGTCACGCTTTAGGCTATATATTGTAACGCCATTAAACTTAGGGGGTAAATATTTTTGAAAAAAAACCCTAATGTGGGAAAGAGACCATAAGTTGCTGCCAACATCAAGAAAGATAGGTTGTCATCAAGTCATGTCATTTTGACATTTGCTATGGATAATGAGACAAATGTAAACAATGAAATAAAATTTTCATAATTTCAAGCGGACGAAGCCGCACGGGAACAGCTAGTTGAATATAAAACAATTTATTATTGTACATAATTCTATTCTCAGGCTATTAAAAATATTGCCGAAAATATTTAAAATGATTTCTTTATATGATTGCTATGACACGTCTTTTATATGTTATTAGGCATTGTATTTACTCTTAACATTTCAACACATATAAATATCGAGATGGAAACTATTTAATTATCACACTAATAATAAGGCGACGGATCTGTTATTTGTACTGCAAATCGCGAATATGTGACAATTGTGTGATTTCATGTAAGGTTTTTGTTTCATTTTTACGAACCACAGTACATTAGTTACACTATTTTAGGAAACTATTCATTTATCTATTAAAAATACATAGTTAAGTGAAAACAAGAATTTTAATAAATCACAATAATTATTATCTAAAAGGAATATTAATTTTATAAAAGTACAGTCAGCTACACAAATTTGTTTACATTTATCAAGCTACATGTATACGCTTTCAGTTTCAAAATATATGCTCCGACTATGAATATATTTAAAGGATAAATGTATACAATTTTTGAAACAGGAAGCCTATAGATGTTTCTAGAACTTTTGTAAATTGATTACATATTTGTGTAACTAACTGTACACACATTGTTACAGCTAAATTTGTACGAAAACAATGAAATTTTCGTATAAATCGTAAACCGAGCGACAATCTAGTGATCATTTTATTTATTTTTGTCTACAATTTTAAAGTCATTAGTTAAATTTTTTGTTTTCATCATTATTTATTTCTACATTAAGAGGGGCTTTGTTTATTGCGTTTTTTTGAGACTTATTATATTCTCTGGTGTAAAACCTTGAAAATAAATACATGAATAATAGAATGTTCAAAATAAGCGCGGCAAGTAACACATAAGATGTTTTACAGTGGGAAAACATATGGCTTAATATCATCTGAACAACCATCAGAAAAAATTGAACCTGGAAAGAAAAAATGTTTTATTTACAACCTATGATTAAAATTGTTATTATTTACAGCAAAATACATTATTAACTTCTGACATCAACATTGGCTTATACAGGTTTAATTAGATATCTTACTAATATCATGATTATGCGACGAAACGATGGGGACATAAACAAGAAAGCGTTAAGAATTAATGTGGATGGTTACAAAGAAAAGGGAGACCGAAGAAAGTATGGATGGATTGTGTGAAAGAGGATATGCTTAAAAAAGGAGTGGATTGAGATATGACGGGTGGTAGAGATGTATGAAAGAGCAGCACATGCTGTGCCGACCCTCCATAAGGGATAAGATCAAGTTGATGGTGACTAATACCATAAATGCATAAGTTAAAATACTTTTTTATATATACACTAGCATTCGCCCGCGATTTCGTCCGCGTGGAATTAAAAAAAAAACAAAAGTGAGTAGTCGATGTGTTCTTCCACACTATCCTCTACATCTATACCGAATTTCATCGAAATCCGTTCAGCCCTTTATGCTGCAAACTCTAACAAACATCCATCCATCCATCTAAACTTTCGCATTTATAATATTAGTATGAAAATATATACTGGTAACCGGATTCAGATTAAATTTGGCAAAGTACGAGTATAACATCCACAATATCAGAGGAATAACAACATTAACTGGCATTTGATTTTTTTTTAATTGAAACTAAACTCAACTTACCAATTGCATCTTCGTGATGTAGTTTTTCCACCACAAGTATTTCGTTAGATTAGGAAAAGCAGCAAGTCCGTAGTAAGCGTACATTATGATATGGATGAAGGAATTGAAAGTAGATAAGAAAATAGTACTGTAAACAGGCTCGTACTTCAGAATGTACCAACTAATGACTAACGCATACGTGTGGTGATAAACGTGCAGAAATGAAATCTGTCGATCACGTTTTCGTAACACGAAGAAAACTGTATCAATTAATTCACTCAATTTTGCGTAGAAGTAGTAGTAAATTATTGATGCCGTCTGCAAAAAATAACAACTTTGAACGTATTTTTTTTAAGTATTTTCGCTATGACTCTCTAATGACATTTGATTATGTTATATTTCACACACCATACGTAGGGCACCATAGATAATCAATGGTCTAACAACCATTCCATACAAATACTTATGTAGTATAATTTTGTAGTTTATTAACATGTCTCTATATGTAAGATATTTATTCTTAAAATCCCATATTTATAGTGTGAACTTTTCATGGAAATCACTTACTTTCATCTTTAATTCTGCACTGTCTATTGTACATTGTCGTGGAATTATCAAACCATTTTGCAATATAAGATCAGTTCCCTGAAAAATTCAACATTTACAGATATTAGCTATATAATTTCGCAGAAGAATGCGAGTAAAGTTAATGCAATAATATGAGATCGTTGGGAAATAGGATTCAGTTTGATTGTAATATTGGAAATAGTGTTGTAATGTAAAATATGTTAGTAGAGTTGAAAAATGCACGCTTAGATGGATGAAAGAGGTATAATAAAGGCAATTTATAATGCGAAGAGTGTCAGTGTTAGTCAAGGACTTCCCTGATTTATGAAATATACGAGATGTGCGGTATTAGAACAACCAACGTGCATGTATAGATGTAGTAGAAGAAGCGAGAGTGGCGTGTCAGTTCCATGGTGTTGGCCTACCCCTCTGAGTTATAGGCGTAAATTATGGCACTTATCAATGGCACGTTATTTTTTTTTAAATAATCGTATGTGCAAACAGTCCCTTTTTCCTTTTAGCGGCTGGTTGATATAAACAAACAGTCAGTAGGCAAAGGTGAAAGATTAACATCTCAATTACTGTTTGTGGCGTGTGATTTAGCATGTTCATTATTCATATTAATATTTAAATGTCATAGAGATATAACAGTAGTGGGAATATGGAGAACAATGTAGAATATTAACGATGTTTTCAGATAAAATTCATTTTTATAAATATGTTTTAATTTATACTAAATATATTATACTAATGTATAGTTTGCAGTAAGATTATAAATATCATCAATTCCCTGCCTTTAGCCTTCTGTGGGTTAGGCATATTAGTTATTGTTGGCGACGTAATTAGCCTCTTTGATAAATTTTTACTTTTTATAGTTTTTTAAAACTAGAATTTATATTCTTTTAAGTTTTATTCTTTTTGTAAATAATTTTGCATTCTTCAATAAATTCTTACAATCGTTGCTAGGCTATTTGTTCACAATTTTCCCTTTTTATATACATTTTCCGCGCTCTCCTCCTTCCTATTTTTCATCCTTTTCAGTTATTTTTTGTGATAAGTTTTTTTAATAATTCCCTACTTTAGTCACTCTTCACGCAATGTTTGTTAATAATCCAAGTCCAACCGTTGCCCACGGACATCCGCAAAAGCAGATGGGTTGCCTGGTTTTAATCTACGTTGGTGGGGACGGGACATTTTCCCCTATGCGTCCCCACCTCTGTAACTCCATTTCCCCTTCCCATACTTTCTTTATAAGACAAGGGAAGGAAAGAAAAGGGGCTAAAATTAGACCTCCGATACGCACACTCATCAGACGAAACATGAAATTCTTGCTTTACGCCTGTCTTCTGTGTGCACGTGGTATATCACCGGGTGAGCCGTGTGTTGTTGCCGGCGTTCACAACTGTTTTTTACACTTTATTTTATAAGAAAAAAATACTTACAATACTAAATATGAAGACGGACATAGCCACTTGAAGTATATTATAAACGACCAGCAACGTTCTCAATTCGAAAGCCGATCTCTTGCTCATCAGCGCGGGTCCAAGTTTTAAAACAAATGATAAATATGCTATCACGATAACCAATATTGTTAATGGTGATGACATTAGGAACCATTCCTCTAAGTTGTCAACTAAAAAGGGAATAAAACTGTTAATAGATGAAAAAAATCTTATCAGATCTCATTAAAGTTCTGGAACACAGTTCTAGAACAATCTAAGTTTTTCTTTTAAAAAATATTTTTTAAATAATAATTGGCTTACCTTTGCTTTTATTTTCAGAAAAGAAATATTTGTCTAAAATTTTATTATCCATTATAGATTTATAAATGTAAATATTGCAAATATTTTTCGTTTAAAATAAATTTGAAAACGTCTTAATCATAAACTGCCAACGCAAGGAATCACTTCACAATGACTTCTGTTTACTCGAATGCAAAATAAAAGTAATACGAATTAATTTAAATATCAAGTTAATTAGGTTTTTTTTTAATAACATTTTATATAACAAACTAAATATCCAAATGATACATAACTGAATAATAAAATCTATATTTTTTTTAAATTCCATCTATTTACATTGCCATACATTTTTGATGAATAAAAAACCGATTAACTTTGTAACATTTTTTTAGCTAAATAGTAAAATAACCTAGTAAAAACTTTACTCAAACTTCCTATCCATATTACTTCAGAAGGTTTGGAGTTGTCATCTATTCGCTGCCGCTCGAAATATAATACAATGTTTCGAGCGCAGGGCCGCAGGGAACCTTTGGCTAGCAAGATATTTAAAATGACACCAAACTAATACTATAAATGCGAAAATTTAGATGGATGGATGGATTTTGTTAGAGTTTGCAGCCTAAACGGCTGAACGGATATCGATAAAATTTGATAGAGATGTAGAGAATAGTCTGGAAGAACACTTAGGCTACCTTCGTAAAGTTTATCTACTTCTGTTATCATATAGTTGTTGTCCACTACTTCATCTGTGTATGGCTGAACATTAGATTTTTATTTCTGTTTTCAAAATCTGCGTGGATCAGCCGCCGATCTCGCGCGATTATGCATGGTGGGATAAAAATGTCAAGTTTACTAGAGTTTCAAGGATATTTCTTTTATATTGGTTAATAAATAAAAATACAAACTATTAATACGTTTATTTACTGTCCGTAAATATTTTAGTACAAACAATATGGCTCATTAGATAATCAATTCAGCTAGCAAAGTTTGATAACTGTTCAGGTCAAATATCCATGGATGATACATCATTGAAAACAAATAAGCAATCCGTCTAAAATACCTCTGGAAAGTTTGGGGTAAAAATTTAGCTATGGGGAAAAAAAACACTTTAAAAATTTGTATGTTTTATTTAGCCATCTCATTTAGCATTTTAACAATTGTTAAGATTTTTTACGTTAAAAAAAAAGAAATCCTTAAGTGAACTTTTTGTCCATCAATTTGTAATGGCTTATGTCACTGCTATTAATTACACCAGGAGTAGATTTATTAATGTTCTTTTCTGATTGTCGACTCTTAAGATATTCTTTGACATAAAAATTTGAAAACAAATAGACGAATAACAAGTTATTTATTACAAGGGTTAGGATGAAGAGGTTTGACGAGCGACATGATGACATTAAGGGAGTTAATAATAAGTAAAGTATCATTAAGAAGAACTGCACCTGCAATGAGAAAAAGGTCGTTAAATAATTAATAATCTTGAGTATGTAATTATAGTTTAAGTAATTATTGTTTTGTCATTTTAAATCAAGCAAATTTTTTGGCAAGCGTCTGAAAAAGAGAAATTTAACAAACACAGTTTTACGGGACTCGAAAAAAAAGTCAATGTACACAATAATTTAACTCCCATTGGTTGTTCATACTGTTTTGTATATCTATATCGTTGTAACATGAATTTAATTCCAATTGGAATGTAAATTGATCTATTTAAACTTACCAATTGCATCTTCGTTATATACTTTTTCCACCACAAGTATTTCGTTAGATTGGGGAAAGCAGAAAGTCCGTAGTAAGCGTACATAATGATGTGGACAAAGGAATTAAGAACACCGATGAAGATGAAGATGTACGCAGGCTCGAATCTGGCGCTGCACCAGCCGAAGAACACGGCGAAGGTGTGGTGATAGACGTGCAAGAAGGAAACCTGGCGATCCCTCTTGCGTAGCACGAAGAAAATAGTATCCAACAATTCAGTTATTTTCGACAAGAAATAAAAGTGAACTATTGACGCCGTCTAAAAATTTCAATGAAATATCAAAAGCGATTCGATGTTATCACAAGCTAAAAATAAAATATCGAATTGGACAAGGGCTGATTCCTGACATCATTCCTGTTAGTTATATTTACCATATCATAGATAAATAAATAAAGTTTTCAGAGTGGTAGTCCCGCTTTAACATTTTACCACGAATGGGACGGCACGCCCGGTATAATAACCACGACCACACAGAAGACAGGTGTGAAATAGAAGCAATTACGTGTTTCGTCTAATGAGTGTGGTGCCGGAGGCTTAATTTAAGTCCCTTTCTCTTTACCATACTTTTCTTATAAGGTCAGGATGGGAAGAGGAAGTAGATTTGACGGTGGAGGAGATGCATATGAAGGGGAAATATCCACTTTATGTGCGTCTCCTCCTCTTTCGGATAAGGGTAGGCACGCATCTGCAATTGCGGAAGTTTATGGGCAGCGGTCGCTTCGCCATTTTGGCGGATTCAGGTGGCCGGTTGCTCGTTTGCCACCTTATGTTATATAAAAAAAAGTTTTTTCTAAGATTGTTTCTTCTTTTTAGGTAATACTAAAACTGTTCGACATGATGAAAAACATGTAAAATCAATAACTTATTAACTTACTTTTATCTCAAATTCTTTATTTTCTGTTAAACATTGGTTTTGGATTATCAACCCATATTGCAGAAGATGTTCAACTGCCTGAAATAATTAACAAACAAAAAAGTGATTATCTCCGTCCGTTTTTAACATTTCAGCATTTTATGCCAAGTGTAATTCGTAAAAGCCACTTAGAGTTATTAACTAAATTAATAACAATAGAGAATAGTTAATTTACTAAACGGTAGTTTCAGCGAGTTTTGATGTTGTAAATTTTTACTTTTATCCACAAGTTGTCACACGTTTTGCAATATTAGTTGTACAAAATACCTTACCTTATAAAACACTGATATGGAAATAACAACTTGAAATATGTTATATATAACAAGGAATAATTTTAAGTTATACGGGGGCCGGTTCCTCATAAATCCTGGTCCAATTTTAAGAACAAATCCTAAATATGTAATTAAAATAGCCAGGACCGGTATCGGAGAAGACATCAGAAGCCATTTCTCTGTTAAATCTGCAACAGTAAGTATAAACAAAAATCTTAACACGTTGAATACTATCAAGTCTTTTGATGAGAACAATGCCATAAGAAATGCGCAGGCGCATGCAATGTGTTAACTGATCTATATCTATCTATCTTTATTTCTATACCAATATAATAAAGCGTAAACACACACTACTTCGTGGCGTAGGATGTCAGTAATCACAGCAAATTTGAATAATTCTTTCTTTAAAAAAAGCCTTATAATTTTATGCGGATGAAACCGCAGGGGAATAGCTAGTTAATAAAATAAAGTCACATTAGTTCAAAATTGACTCCAGAAAATCAATTATCTTTGAAATTAAATTTTTAAAACTTAAAAACAACAATAGTCATAAAAAAAAGTAAAAAAAATTACCTTCGCTCGTTTTTTCTGGTAATAAATAGCCTTTAAACATTGTCTTATTAAACATTTTATTATAAAATTTTATTCAAATTAAAATTTAACGTCTAACAGCCAGCTTGTGCTGCTTTATGAATGATTATTATGAAAACAAGATAAACTACACACGATAGAATACAATTTCATATATTAGTCAAATGTTTTTGTGATGTCGGATAACATTGTATTTAATTAACAAAAATTAATAAATCTCTAGACGTTATATTTAAGACAGACTAGTGGTCGGTTATTTTTCAAAAATCATAACTCACAATAAAGATTTTTTATTGTTTATTTGTTTACGCAATTTACTTAGAAAGGACCACAAAATTTTCAGTCCACGTATTATGATCACCAGCTCATTAAACGTCTCCACTGACTTCTCTGTTCTCTAAGTTAGGAGGAGTTAGTGTCTCCGTTATCTAAGTTAACAGTGACTAGGCCATAGTCAACCATGCAGGGCAATTGCGGGTTACTTGATTACTTTAAACATTATGTTCTATTTTAATTTTATGTGTTTTATTATTAAAATCTGTTTAGAATGTGTAGTACTTTGTTAATTTTACTTTCCATTATTAAAAAAAACTTTCATTTAACTTTTATTTTCCTTTCAAAAAACTTTCAAACCATAGTCAGATTCAGTTTTAAAAACGAAAAACAATAGTAAAAAATCTGTTACAATTATTTCACGGCAAAGCTTTTAAAATCCATACGAATATTATTACAAAAGGGAAGTTTTGTATTTAGAAAACTCAAAAAGACTTTTTTTAAATCGGGAAAAACTCAAGAGTAGGTGGGGGTTTTAAATAAAAAAGTAATAAATGATTAATTTATTTTGACATAATTTAATCGCAGTTACATGATATCTATTCATTATTTTTTTAAATATATAAATAATTAAATCGTATCCAAAATCCAAATAATGTGTCACATCACTACAATGTTTTATTATCGCTTATATCTTTTTTATTCATTTTTATTAACATAATAGTCATTAGTAGAATTTTTCGTCTTAGATTTTTCGTTCATTTCATTATCACGAGATTTAGTTATTTTATTGTTGGATCCTTTATTACTTTTTTTGCTATACGACTTTACATAAAAATCACTGAACAAATACAAGAACAATGTTGTGTTTAAAACAATTGTTAAAAGCAAACCATAAGACGGTCGGCAAGATGAGACTTTATAATTGATGCCAACTTGAAGAACTATTAGTAAAAATTGTACCTGAAATAAAAAAAAAAAAACAAATAATTAAATAGACTTTGAATCGGGAAGAAACTCCTACATACCAAGAGTACGTCTTTAAATTCTTTATCTCTACCTACTCTCATGCGTTTTCTGGAGTGAGTTCTTAAAAAATACACAACATAATTACTATTGCTTAAATAAAATTCTGAATACGGAAATTTGTAGAAAGCATGAATGAAAAGTAGTAGTAGAGCGTTGCTGGCTTGTAATTTACAAGTCTTGGGTTCCAATCCCGCTGTACCAATGTGATTTTCGGTTTTCGAATTTCATAATTTACCCGAAGGTTACGGTGAAGGAAAACATCGAGATGCAACCTGCACATGTCTGCTAAGAAATTCAAAGACATGTGTGAAGTCAACTAACCCGCATTAGGCGAGCGTGGTTGATTATGCTCTAGTCACCCCTAACTTGAAGTAAGCTTCGAGCCGCTCAGTGGTGGCTATAGAGAGCTGGTGATGAATGATGATGGATGAAAAGTATAAAGGCGAGAGACTCCGGATATTCAGTAATTAACAGTAAATAGAATAATTGTATTAAAAAAAATCATTACTTTAACTTACCAGTTGCATACTTGTAATATACTTTTTCCACCACAAATATTTACTAAGATCGGGAAAGGCTGATAATCCGTAGTAGGTGTACATAATTATATGAACAAAAGAATTGATAGTCCCTAGAAAAATAGTACTGTATGAAGGTTCATATTTCAATGCGAACCAACTGCACAGAAATGTGATGGAATGATGATACACATGGAGGAAGGTCACTTGACGATCTCTCTTCCTCAGAACGAAGAAGATTGTGTCGAATAGCTCTGTTAGTTTTGCAAAGAAGTAGTAGTATATTCCAACTGCAGTCTGAAATAAATAATTGGCTAAGTTAACATTGAAATAAATAGGTATAGTGATAACTATCTTGCAGATGGTTATATTGCGTATTATTATAATTATTTTAACCTGTCGTGGTTTTTACAATTATAATGTTCGTAAGATACGGGCTTCTTACCACGGTTTGGTTGTTTTAGCTCCCGACATTTCGGTACAGTTGCATGGTCTGACAGTCAGCCCGTGAACATGGCGCATGCAACTGTACCGAAATGTCGGGAGCTAAAACAATCCAATCGTGATAACAAACCCGTATCTTACGAACATTATAATTATAATTATTGTCCGGTATAGTGTGTACAGTAAGGTCAAAGAATTGATGAAGTATCAGAGGTAGACTAGATACGAATTTAAATAGTTTGTTGATTTGCTTAATACATTCATCTCTGTATTCCATTAGATAGGTTATAAGTCGTTGATTTTTGTGCCTTTTGGATATTTTCCACTTTGGCGCTGTCTGTATCAATAGTAGTGTTGGTAAATCGAACTATTTATAAAGTTAGAACTAACCGACAGTTACATTAACTGATGCTTTTAAATCGAAACGAAGCCAAAATTACAAGCAACAGAACAACGGTCATCTATAGAAGTTGGTGACAAAGGTTTTATTTTTTTTTAAATATGAGGTGGCAAACGAGCAAGCGGCCACCTGAATCCGCCAAAATGGCGAAGCGACCGCTGCCCATAGACATCCGCAATTGCAGATGCGTTGCCTACCCTTATCCGACGGAGGAGGAGACGCACATAAAGAGGATATTTCCCCTTCCTATGCATCTCCTCCACCGTCAAATCCACTTCCTCTTCCCAACCTCTCTTTATAAGAAAAGGGTTATATTATACTTACATAATGTTTTAAATCTTCGTTATCAGACAAACATTTTCTTTGTAAAATTAACCCATTCCGTTGCAGAAGATTATATCCCTGAAATCAATAAATATCTGTGGATTATACATGCAACTTGTATTGTAGGGAGTATTTTTGTAGTTATTTAAGAGAAAAATAAGTCATTTTTAACTTAATAAAACATTCCCATCCATATAATTAACCATGAGAATGTAAAAATACAATTATTATTTATTTGCTTTTATTTATCTTAACATCGTTAAAACTGTTTCTACTGTGTTTGTCACGTTTTTATAAAAACTTTAACGCAAAGTCAAAACAATGTCAAAAACAGTAGAACCTCGATAAGTTAAAGTCCAAGGGAAACACAAAATATTTTAAGTTATAGAGGTAAGTTATCAAGGATCTATGTTATAGAGGTTTTGGGCTATGATGGGAAGGGAACATATTATTTTTTGAAGTTATAGAGGTTTTTATGTTACCGAGGTTTGAGTTATCAAGGTTGTACTGTAATTAAAACGCACGCTTTAAAGTGCACAGCATAGCTCAAGAAAATGGTATCATGAATCCTTATAAAACAGACTTAGACCAAAAACCATCTTAGACGTCTTAAGAAACTTTTAATAAAATTTAATTAAAAACCAGTAGTTAAGAAATGAACAAGGAAAAGTTTTATTTTAAAGTTATATTTTTATGAAGGCGGTTTCGCAATGTAAAAAAATTATCACATTTTTTGTTCACATTAACATGTGAACTTTGTTACAATTGTTATGATATTTAATTATTCCCGTCTTATTTCATTAAAGTACGAAGCAATAATAACATGCAATTAAAACATTCATGCTTGGAAACTAATTAATACGTTGTTCAAGGACATATTCTAATTTCTTATACATTTATAGTAAATTACTATAAAGTTGAAATATCCTACACTATTACAGTTAATTTATAAATCAAAATAACAACGTGATAAAGTGGCAAATAATAAAATTTGTATTAGAGCGGACGCACACCTTTGACTTAACTATCGCACAACTGTTGTGCAGCCAATTCAACTGTTTAGTTGCTAAACTAAAAATCGTTGTGTACACACCTACATATAAGCTCAAAGGAATCAAAGCACGAATAAACAGTTTTGCGACAGTTTAGTCAAAGTTGTGCATGGTTTTTTTATACATCATAAGGTGGCAAACAAGAAAGCGGCCACCTGAATCCGCCAATATGGCGAAGCGGCCGCTGTCCATAGACATTCGCAAAGGCGGATGCGTTCTCTACCCTTAATAGACGGCGCAGGAGATACACATAAAGACATGTTTCCCCTCCACCGTCAAATCCACCGTCACATTCCTTTACCAACGTCTTCTTAAAAAGGGTGGGAAGGAAAAGGGAGTAAAGTAAGGCTTCCGGTATCACACTAATCAGACAAAATGCGAAATTGCTCCTACTTCACGCCTTCACGCCTGTCTTCTGTGTGATCGTGCCGACCCGTTCGTGCGAAGATGTTAAAGCGGGATTTACCACTGTCACACTGCTGCTATAAAGTGTTAATGGTAGGAATCGAACCCACAGTTGCTTGTACATTGACCATTAAGTTATTGTTGTTATTATATGAATAATACTCACCACAAAGAATACGAAGCAGGAGAAAATAATTTGAAAAACGTTATAAAAAATTAGAACATTATTCAAACTGAACGGAGGTCTCTTTTTCATAAATTCTGGCCCAATTTTGAGTACGAACGCGAGGTACGCTATCCAAATTGATAGAATCGGTATCGGAGTTGACATTAGAAACCATTTGTCTACGTAATCCACTGAAAATACAGAAAATTTAACGTAATTTGGCACAGGTTTGGAGCATAGCGGGCATAGTTATAAAACAAAGTCTGGAGTACACATGAGATAAGCTTCATCCTAGGGAAATGTCCGGTTCCCGAGGGATACGTACCTTTATATTTTATATAGTTCGTAAGTTTTCAAATACCACGCGGACGAAGTCGCGGGCAACAGCTCGTGACAAATAAAATGTTGCATTCATTAACACAATAAAAGCACGTACGTTACAATAATGCTTTGAATTGATTTTAATTTCTTAAATCAATTTCACTCATACATTATTTCAAGGTACTCCAAAGGAATTGTAAATTCGTATTAGCATACTATTACTAACATGTTGCGTTAAATGAAAAAGTGATTGTCATTGGCATGCGTATTAGGTTATATACCCTGTCCTGTAATTAAGTGTACAACACAACAACTACAGCAATATAACTAGCTGTTGCTGGCGACTTCGTCCACGTTATAATAAGGTAAAAAAGTAGTATATCATATATCGAAATCGGATCAGCCGTTTCGCAGATTACCCGGAACAAACGCGGCTTGCGGACAGACAGACAAACAATTATTAAATACAATTTTAGTCATTATCAACGCAAATACGTCGTCTTCCCGAAATCTGGAAATTTTCTATTGCTTTTACAAAGAGACACTCCAATTTTATTATATGTATAGATTCTATCGTTCACAGACCTATCTATCAATATTTATCCAAGAGTGCATTTAAACTTTACTAATTTTACTTTCATCTTTATCCAGTCAAACATAACTCACATTTCCATACTTTAATTAATATGAACTCGATACTAGTGTCGGGCCAGAACAATCAACTAAGTTTAACAAGAAACTGAACTGCATTAATGTTGCAACTAATACCGCATTATCAACCGCAAAACGTACCTTTAGTGACAATTTTTTACTTTATAACTTAATAAAACAATAGTCCAGTCCCATTCATTTTAATTCCTACATCCTTTACCCTCTACATCTTTCACATATATACCACAAAAAGCATGCTTCTAATACACACAAATTCTTCCACCTGTTAGATTTTTTTGTCGACTAGCTTTCGACCGCGATTTCATATGCGTTGAATTAAAACACCAAAGTAAATATCCTATGTTTCCTACCAGACTCTCCTTTACATTTTTGTCAAATTTCATCGTGATCAAACGAACGAACAACATGGCAAACGAGCGAGCGACCACCTAAATTCGCCGAGAAAGCGAAGCGATCGCTGACCATGTACATCCGCAGTTGCAGATGCGTCGTCTACCCTTAATCAACGTAGAAGGAGAGGTGCATAAAAAATAATATTTCCCCTTTCTAAACGTCTCCTCCACTGCCAAATCCAGTTTACTTTCCCATCTTTTCCGTATTAGATAACGGGGGGAAAGGAAAGGGAATGAAATTTGTCCTCCAGCACCAAAAACTTTCGCATTTATAATTATAAGTAAGATCTTTGTTGAAATATGTTATTTTACTCATTCTTAAATGTAACATCCATAGATTCTTTAGATTATCATAATATGATAATCATTTTTGACATAGTTAGTACGATGTTAATACATCTATATTTGGATGTTATATATAAGGCTTCAGCATTTAGACAGTGCAAATAAAGTGAGCAAAGAATCTGACTGGTTAACCAAAAGCTAACAACGCACGAGAATTTATTCCTACCATATGGAGCAGTAGGCGGATACACGAAATTCCTTACTAAATACTGGCACCTTTTTAGCTTCATTTGTCGTTTACTGAGAATGAATGAAAAAAATAGGAACATTTAGATATTATACTGAGGTTTGCAAAATATGACCCTAAAAATCCGGATATGGTAATCCAAAATTAAATTTTCAAATAAATGTATGTATAAAATACCTATACTGAATATTAAAATAATAAAAAAATTCAAACAAATCGTACCTTCGCCCTTAAAGTCCCAAAAGGAATAATTTTCTGCGGTAATATTTTCCATCATGTTTTTTTTTATTTTGCGTTCCTTCGCGTTCAAAGTGGACCGGCCATAAACGAATCTGGTTACTGTCTGGCATAATTTTAAATTACAACCATCATATAGTGAATTTACCTGCGTTACATATAAAACGCGTAACATCGATGATTTACGTCATAGCATTTATTATGTGGGAGTTGTAAACAAAATTATGTCAATACTGACGATATTTGGGGAAGGGCAGAGCAGCAGGATTGTGCAATACTACTGGTACTTGAATGCACATGCTGACAAGACAAGAACTCATTATACTGTGTATCTACTGCTCTGCCTAACTATACCGCCCACATGTTAATTGTTACATAGTAGAGAGCATTGCTCAATGAAATGGATAATTTGTATTTGACTTTTTCATGCAATAAGATGTCATATGACCAAATGTTTCCATATTCTTGTTGAAAAAAAACCCCTACACATCATAATCAACATCATCTCCCCTACCTCATCCTACTCCCCTAGGGTCGGCGCAGCGGGTTTTCGTCCTCCGAATAACTCTATCATCCGTGATAACAGTCATCACTCCCACCTCGATCTTCTCACCTTTCACGCAATCCATCCACCTCTATATACGTCTACTTCTACCGGTGTACACCCCACACATAACTAACATTATTCTTGTTACATGCGATTTAAACTGCAAATCTGCAAAGAAATTCAAAGATATGTGGGAAGACAACAATCAAGCTAGGCCAGAATCGTTGTCTATGGCCAGGTCACCCCTTACTAGTCCAAATTCCGAGACTCTCAGTGTGGATGTAAATTATCTCATGACATTCAAAGCTTTAACATTTATCACAAGATGAGCAAGCAATTAATTAATCAAGATATCCTCGTCGCTACTTCCCTTCCACCAATTACACGGAAGTCTTTTAATAAAGAGTAAAATGAACTGTAGAAACACTGAGGTAATAAACTACGCCCCTATATCCTTAATACCAGAAGCACTACAGTTGTCGGTCTTTGAGGAAATAATACAATTACTATTTGAAATAATAGTATGCTGTTGAATAATTTGTTTAGACTACAATTTGTACTACTATCATAAATTGAATTAAAATTAACTTCAACTATAATTGCGCAGGTTTACTCTAGTTTGTTAGGGTTCGCTGGGGTCGCATATATCAAAGTCTATACGTCAACTACAACAAAAGCAATAGATTATTGATTCGCGTAATGACGCATTTGTTTTTTGCCATTTAACTGCAACTAATTGCACGTTAACGTTCATTATAAAATGTATCAATTATTAACAAACTAGCTTTCGCCTGTGACTCCGTCCGCGTGGAATTAAGAAAAACAAAAGTGAGTAGCCTATGTGTCCAGACTATCCCCTAAGTCTATGCCAAATTTCATCGAGATCCGTTCGACCGTTTAGGCTTTAAACTCTTACAAATATCCAACCATCCATGGATCCATCTATCATAACATTTATAATATAAGTAAAATAAGATAAGATTATTTTCTACCTTTAAAAATTAATTTCTAAACTTCATTTGTAATTATTTCAATAAGTAAACACATATAAACAAACTTCTCTACAAAAGAGTGGCATTAAATTGTTATTTAAATATGTTTAAAAAATATTTAAATAAATAGTTTGGAAGTGCGAAGTGAATAAAACACTTATATATAATTAATCAATTTATTTTTATTAAGTGAAAAACATAAAAACATTAACATAAGTACTTAAGAAACTAATTTAACTTATCCCAAACAAAAACATTTAAATACTTTGGAACACACGACCAAATATTTAATTTATTGAAATTAAGGACCACATTTAGGAAGCATTTTAATCTTAATGCTTATTTCCACTTAGAGGCTAGTTGCTCAGCACTGGGGTTTGTCGCATTACATAGCGATGCACCCTTACATCCTTACAAATGGAGCTTGTACTAGTCGCATGCGACTAACCACTTAATGGAAACAGGCTTATGTGTAAACTAACATTAGCGTAGAAATAGCTATTGCGAGGTATTTGAAATCTGCTGTAAAAGTGTTGTATTTACAAATGAAAAATGTTATCTAGGAACAAAATATATATTAAACTTAGCAATTTCTAGAAATAGGCAGATAAGAGATCAGGAGATTTTAGAAGAATTATTTTTAATTGACAACTTTAAAAAAAATTAGGGCGGAATTCCATTTAGCATTTTTTAATATAGGCACTTAAAATTTATATTATTTTTTTCCGATATGTATCACAGTGATATGCGACATATTTATTAGACGCATATATGATATAAAATATATTTTATAAGCTTAAAAAACCAACATTATCATTACATAATTATTGTATATGTACAATCGTGGAAATCCGCAGTGTTGCAGAAAAATTGCATAGTTCTTGCGAAGCGACCGCCTTTCTTACAAAAAATCACAGCACAGAGTAGCGCAACGACGTGATAATATTAAAAAAGCACATAGCCGATTACCACAGATCGACTTTTTTAAACACACAAAAAAGCTGCGTTATTGTTCCGCGTCAACATCTCTCTATAGTTTTAACGACTCTAGCTTTAAAGATGGAACACTGCCAGATTTCCCGACTGTACTGTGAATGAATTTGAACAGCAAAACGGACTTTTGTACTTAATTATACAAACTTAACACATAACTGGTTATTCAAAAAACAATCCGTACGTTAAAGTCATTTCAAATGCAGTGAAAATGCACTGTATTTTTCGTACATTTAAGTAATATATCTTAATTATTAACAAAACATTTGATTAGGTTACGCTAAATAATTTTCAATATCAGTGAAAAGTTTACTTTAAAATTTATATTAATCTATTCGTTTTAAATTCTTCTTTTCTCAAACAATTTGCAGTACGTTTCTATGACTTTTCGCAGTTATTTCTCAACCACATTAATTTAACTTTAATTTTTTGATAACTGTAATATAAAGCTGACAAGGTATTTAGTTTTTATTACTTTAAAATTCTTTTACAAACTTATACATATTATTGAGTGTATATTGAACTATACTGTTATAGAAGTGGAGTGATAATAAAGGTTTCGAACATAGTAAAGAAATACATTTAAAACATACCTTATTTTCTATATTATTGCATTACTTGTGCGGTGTTCATATATTTTTAAAATACTGATTTTTGACGGTTGACAATATTAGTTAAATTTAACAATAAAAATTGTTGTATGCAGATATTTAATTAAAGGTGGCAAATATGAAAACAATCATTTAGAAAGCACCAAATATGGACATTTATATTTAATATATTTTATCAATTATAATTGTTTGTGAATACGCGATATAAGGCACAGAAATACGTTTCTAAATACAAACCGAAGATTTTGGCTAAACTAATTAATAATTATTTTATTAAAATTACTCTTTTACCTTAAATTTATTTTAGCAATACTATAGTCTTAATTGTATTTACTTAAAAGCTTACAATGGTCAGAGATTTTGTAATTATATATTGTATCTAATATAGCATCGAAATAATTTGAAAATAAAATAGTTTATGCATATTTTCTTTTACTTTTTTTTTCCCTTATTCTAGTTAAAATTCCATCAGCTTCATCACAAACATCAGTCTCAAGTGAACGACGTACCGACTTACTATAACACAATCATTTATTAATTATACTATCGTAATCACATTCGGTGCCAAAAGCATTAACGCTACGTCTTTTTAAATATCCCTTCCCATCTTTGATAATTTCTTCACAAGCTTTTTCAACTTTACAAGGTATATCTTCTAAATTAGGAATTCCCTTACAGATATCTCCAATCACATCTTCGTTACATTTATTTGTACCGTTTACATCATCTTTGACACCATTGGTCATTGCTTTATGTTGTCTATTCTTTAATTTGTAGTTTTTGGTGTAGAAATTGAGGAATAGAATTAGGAATATAGTTACATTGGCCGATATGAAGTAGGTGAAGCCAGGTGCGTACTGACAGCGCGGTGAGAAGTACGTCCACATGCAGTACGACAGCATCAGAACGAATTGTATCTGAAACGAAACAATAGGCTATTAAATAAAACATTTTTGACATAAAAAAACCGATCCAAGAGTAAAAGAGACTAAAAAAACTCTATTGTTATCTGAACAATTTTCCGGAACAACAAAAATGTTTTAATACTTCGAATTGTAAATAATTTTTTTAGAGTTGGAAAACAAAAACTAACAGCATTAGTTAACACAATCAGAAGTGTAATTATAAGTGAGTTATAGGCGTAAATAATCATATATTTGAGCAACATTTTATATTTCTACTTGAAATCAAGGCCACTTGGTAAAATTAAGTGAGTTCACAGCCTCATACATCCGCATCAAACGGAGGTACAGATTAAAATTGAACTCCGACATACCAGCTGCATTGTTGTGACGTACTTCTTCCACCAGAGATACTTCTGGAAGTGCGGGCCGAGGCCGGACAGCAAGTAGTATGTGTACATAACCACGTGCACGGCGGAGTTGAGCAGCGCGAGCACCGCGCCCTCGCCGCCCGCCGCGAACTTCAGGTAACTCCACGAATACAGCGCCATTATCACGTGATGGTACACATGCAGAAACGTCAACTGGAAACAGTTTCAGTATCAAGCAGTTAATTATCAGATAGTACACAAATAATAAAGCGTCGGTGGCTCAGTGGTTTAAGCACTTGACATGTAATCTACAGGTCTTGGGCTCAAATCCCCCCATTTACCAATGTGATTTACGATTTTTCGAATTTTTATAATAACATAATTTACCCGAAGTTCTTACGGCGAAGGAAAATATCGTGATGCAACCTGCACACATCGGTGAAGAAATTCAAAGATTGTGTGATGTCAACCAACCCACAGTGGACCAGCGTGGTTAACTATGTCCTAATCACCCTAACTTAGGGTAAGCTCTGAGCCCCTCAGTGGGGACGAGCTGGTGATGACATAACCAATATAAATAGAGTGCTTTAAAACTCAGTGATTGTATTATGATTCTTTACAATATGGGTTTTTCAAAGTGGGCAATTGTAACCTAGATGCATTATGCTCCATAAAAATGGGGGGCGCTGAATAACGGTTGATTTTCAAAGGGGGCGGTAAAAAAAAATTCACAATCACTACTACTGTTTAAATCTAATTAACATTTTATCTAAACTAAGAATATTTATATTTTGCGTAGATAAATACATTGTATTAAATAGAACATAATTACCTGTTTTTCCTTCTTTCTTAACACAAAGAAGACAGTGTCTAATAGTTCAGTAAACTTAGCGAAGAAGTACCACCAGCCCAAATCGAGGAGCTGAAACGTTAGGAACGCATAAGAAACATGGAAGTATTCCACCGACCGACAGGAATTAAGAAAAAAAAAGTAACCTATCTTTTCTTCCAGATTATCCTACATCAATGCAAAATTTCATCAAAATCCATTTAGCTTTTTAGGTTATACACATCCATCCATCTATCCAAACTTTTATATTTACAATACTAATAAGTAAAATTAATATGAAACAATTCTTACCATAGGATTTAAAGTATTAGCGGGATATCGACAACCAGCATAAATGATACCATCTCGGAAAAGGTTCAATTTAAACACCTGAAAATACAAATAAATAACAATATATATAGAGCAACTCCACAACAGCGCAGGACGCTCTGTCCATGGAAGAAGTGGGTGTATTAGACAGCGGGAACTAAAATTGAAGGTTCACCAGCTGAAGAGAAATCGTAGCATTAGGTAGTTCACCAACACCAGCTACATTTTAAATCTTTCAACGAGAAAATAATATTCAGCAAACCCTGAAATGTGATTCAAATACCTTCATACAAATCATTGTCGCCAATACAACTTGTGCGGCGTTGTAGTAACTTATGAGCTTGTTGATTTTCATTGGAGGTCTATTCTTCATCATTCTCGGTCCGATTCTTATGAAGAGCAGATAAGCAACCACGACTGACAAAATTGGCGTTGGACTCGACATCATGAACCAGGAGTCCACCATAGCACCTGAATCGAGACAAAGAAGTTACCTTTTTTAATACATACAGCGTACTCCGCTTAAGTTTTTAAATAGTGATATGTATTAATTAAATTATTGCTAATTGTGTACTGTAGGCGTTTACAAAATTATTTAAGCCACTTAATCTTTTACACCGCCATCTTTTGGCTTTACAATGCTGTAAATAGCCTTATCAATTACAAATCGCAAAACATCTTGCTTTTTTAAAATGTGTGGCGGTGTAATGATTTGGAAATATTGAATGTTATGCCTTAGGCTTCTAATTCAAGAACAGAAACTTAAAATCGAGATATTTTGCAGTTCATAGAGATTATTCATTAAATAAAAAGAAATGTTTATTAATATAAAGCTACTTAATATCGATTTAAACAAAATACTTACTTTTTCCAATTTTCAAAGAGTCCAAATAGCCATCAATTTTCTCTATATAACTCATCTTGGAATAACTACCTGAAATTAAGAAAAAATTATAAAAAATATCTTCACAGCAGACATAAAACGTAAACTGAACTAATGTCAATCTGACAGGTTTATTCCTTTTTATGACAGGCCAGTGACATTATACTTCATTATTTAAAAAATAAAAATCTAAAAAGTTATTATTAATGTGCACAATCAAATGTGTAATTATTTGAATGTGGTTAATCTGATTTCGAATGAGGAATTTCCGTATGGCTGCGTCTCCGCCGCTACAAGCCTTGCTACGGCTTCCGGTAATGCTTGTAAAGCTGACGGATTCAGGCAAATACGCGATGCTGGTGATCCGAAGGTGATCATTTATGACACCATAATATTGTGAATATTGTTTTAAAATCCCACTAGCGAAGGGTCCCCACAGTTAACTCTTCTTTTAATAGAAACAAAGCTATTAATTCTATCTCACGTGCTAAGAATAAAACCTTTACATGCGTTTGTTTCGTGACTATACATAGACGAAGAACCTATTTAAATGTCATTTATCAAAGCACTTTTTGTATTCTCAGACGCGAAGTTAACTTAAAAAATAATCGGCATTGTTAATGTGACAAGAGTCATTTGTTTTCAATTCAGTCACGGAGAGATAGAATTAGTTTTCGATGGTAAAGATAAAAGCTTTTAGAGTAGAAAGTATTGCAAGCCATCCTGAATTTTAGTCAAATACTTTGGAAGGTTTTATTATTATTATATTTGGTATTTTTATAAAAGCTTGTGTAATGTACACTTATGATGTTGCTTGACATCATGCTAATATAAGTGCGAAAGTTTAGACAGATGGATGGATGGTTGTTTATTAGAGTTTGTAGCCTAAACGACTGAGCGCATTTCGATTAAATTTGGTATAGGTATAGAGGATAGTCTGGAAGAACACATAGGCTACTCAGTTTTATGTTTTCTAATTCCACGCGGACGGAGTCGCGGGTCAGAGCTAGTCGCTATATATTAATAAAAAATTATCGTTAATCTTTTAGTGTGTCTGTGTGCTCGAAGCAAATGTCTATAGCTATTTTAAACTATCTACAACAAACTACTGTATAATTTGATGACATATTTGAACGCTATAATTGTATACGTGGAGTATGTTAGTTTATGTTTAAAGTAAAATTAAGTCTCATATCCTTTCTGTCATGTCCATATAGCCTAAGTTATTCAGTGATAATATAGCTATGTATTTTTTTTAATTTCAAAGCTATTCAATAGTTGCAGAGTCTATACAATGCAAACAAATAAACCTTTCCTCTCTACAATGTATAGACAAAGATATTTTCAATGTCATTGTGGCAAATTGTAGTGCATAAGTAAACCCTACACTTGGAACATCTAGAATGGAAAGGCAATTTTCTCTTCATTATAATGTACTTAACCTTATCTCCTGCCTATGCTTTGTCATAAAGCATACGATCGTCATCTTTACTTGCGTCTTTAATGTAAGTGCGTAGATCAGAAGTGTTGACTTCAGTCTTTGTAGGTCGAGATTCGCTTTGGATCGAAGGTTTCTCGGTCAAACGTCTCTTGCTCATTGTATTCATATTATTGTGTTGGCAACGTTGATTACGAAAGTCTTAGAATCGACGCCGATACACGGAAAGGGTTCAATACTGGAGCGATGTTAAGAAAGTAGATCATGACTTGATCTAAATTGATTTTTACTCAGACATTATTTATGTCAAAATCTAAGTACACTTTTATTGTTATCAACCGACTCTCTTGTTTTTTTTTCCTTTGTTTTGTTTTAGACCCTTAATATTACAGGCGTAAATATTTTTGTATAATTTGGTTATATTTTTATTTTGTAGAAATTATTACTTTAAGTGGTACTTTATTTATTCTGACCCAGTATTACTCTCCTTGAATTTAGACGACTTAAAATTAAGGAATTTTCTTTAGTTATAATTCTGCACAACTTTTTGTCGCAATGCGGCTCTGCTATGCCTTTTCTGAATTCAATTGAGCAAAGTTTCGCGCGACCTCGACCTTCCGCCACGCCAGACAGCCACGGACTTAAACTTATCTAATGCTAGTTTAACACGAGAGTAGAATACGTCAGAACAGTAGGACTGAACGGTACTGATATTGTCTGAAAAACACTGTCAAAACAATAATATTCTGTTTTGGTGTATTGTGTTCAAACAATGGTAGTACTGCACTATTAACTGCAAAGTCGTACAGTTTTTCCATCGTGTGAAACTAGCATAACGTGAAACCATTGCGCTTAAGAGCTTTTAGCGATTGACAACCCAATTACCTGGTACTTAATTATTTGAATGTTACATTGCCACTATCACGCAATGTTATACACACATAACATTTATTATAATTTAGAATATAATTTTAAACTACGCATACAAGAAAATTTTCATTTAAAAGAAAATGCGAAACTCGAACTTTTGACAAGTATATCCATTAAACAGCTATAAAAAAGCTCTACAGATTTTACCCCCAAAATTAAAGAGAAACACACGAAATATGTCACTCAAATCATGATTTGTATGACATACTCGTATTTCGTACTATCTTCATCAGCTTATCAGCTGACAATGAAAAATCAAAATGAGTGACTTAAGTGATTTGGCAATGAAAACGCTGAAATTCGCAATCTGTGTTATTAAAGTAATGTTTATTTTGAATGCTTATTATGTTAATATGTTGGTAAGTTCCTTGTACATGTGAATTAACAAACTTACAGAAGTAACCTAATCAATTGGTTGGTACAAGCCAAGAATATCGATGGAATTTTGTTTTCAAGCAGCAGCTGTCGAGGTAATTCTAAAAGCAATACTTTAATAACATTGATCATCTTAAACATTTCGTTTTACAGCGGACAGAACATAATTAAACTAATGATATATGTCTATCGTAGATCACATTAAAATGTATCATGGAAATATCCTGTCATTTCTGACAGCAATTCGTAAAACAAATTAAACACTAAAGCAAAGAAAAACCTGTAAACTTGCTTGTTACACCGTACTATCCGACTGTTAAATCTTTGACCGTTAATTTTAATTTGAAAAAGAGTTACATTCAAAACTTTCACTAAATACTAACCTACAAACAGGAAGTCTAAATTGTGATGAAAGCAGTTTTCAGTTTGACTGGTTAGACGAAATTTTATTAGAATCGGTGCAATAATTTTAGAGTCTATCCTGAATGACATGAGATTTTTATATAACATTCGATTACAAATATATAGAAAAACCACTATCGATAGATAAAGAATCATGATACAGAATATATTGATCTAATTGAAAAAACAAAACAGTATCTAAAACCCCTGAATTGTGCTAACTTCAAACTCTCACAATTTAAAGGTAATTTATTTCTAACACAAACAGCACCCATTCGTTCAAAGAACAAAAAAATGTAGAGTTCTTAGAAAAACTCTAAAACTTCAGAAAAATAAAAAAGTTAATTAAGAAAAAGGTCCTCATAAACACATTGGTACCCTTATCATGTTTTTAACGAACTCAAGGGAGATTGTTAGAAAATTATACTTTTTGAACAAATTAAACTTACCCTGTTCGAACTTAACGACTAAGTTAACTGACACACACTGAGGGATGATGGGAACTCAACGTTCGCCTGGCGAGAGGACCGAGTCAGCACTGCGCCACTATCGACCGCGCCACGCAACAAATAGCCCGCACGCGATATAACTCGTATATTCTTCTTCCTTCAGACAAACTGTTCCACTTTCAATAAACTGATAAATATCAATTGTAGGATTAGGTAAGGACTATAGATAGAGTACTCTGTTTGTTGGGATATTTAAAATTAATAATAATTAACACTTTTAACAATAAAACCCGATACTCTGAACAAGAATTTCGGAAATGTTTCAGAAAATTTCAGTTTTAAATAAATTAAATTATTTAGCGCAAAATTAACATAAACGATAACTAAACACGGGAAGTATTTTCTATTTAGAGGAGAAAATAACAGGAGTGGAAACTGTAACGTTTGCAGTAGAAAAATAAATTGTATAATGCCTGTCGCATTATAACAAAGTTGTGTAAAACTTTTTACGTTGATACTTATTTAGCAGGTGAAAGTGGACGTAGTAGTCAGGAGGTAAAAATAATGGCACAGAAGAGAGACAAGTGGAAACTGCTGCACAGACCGTATATCTTTAAGCTTTAAGAATAACAAATTATTATGGTTAGGATTTTATTCCATTTTTATCTACACATACTACTTTTTCAATTAACCTATAAATACTTCTTGTCTTCACAAAGGCTGAATTAAAATAATTATATTGTCACCCTTCTTTGTTTTCAGAAATTTAAGATTTATTTTTTTTGTGCACATTATCTGACGGTATAACTATTATCACCTCTTGAAGTGTTATTCCGCTGCCTGAAGTATGAGACATTATAATAGGGCTTCTTAAACACACGGTTTAGTTTATTCATCTGTCATAATAAGGATTAGGTTAATTGTATTTATGTTAGGATTTTCGTAAGGTTTTTGTGTCCACAGATATTTAGGAGTTGAAGGTCAATCGATGTCAGCAAACGTCTGAACACAGTGATTATTTTTATTAGTATTTACCAACGCATTCATCTATACTAATATTATAAAGTGGAATGATTTGTTTTTTGTATTTTTTGTATGTATTTGAATCACATAAAACTACTTGAATGATTTTAAAACTTCGTTTACCATTAGAAAGGAAATTTATCTGTGAGTAACATCGTATATATTTTTTAATTCCACGCGGAGGAAGTCGCGAGCAACAGCTAGTTTTAAAATAAAATGAACAACAGCATGCATTTATTTCACCAACTAAAAAATCAACAGAATTCTAAAAAAAAAAATGTCACAAAATGTTCAAAACAAAAGAATACTTAGATTGTTAAGAAAAATTGAATACCAAATAATCAAAGTTACTTTTCCCTATGGCGTATTTCATGATCTCGCATTATCTTTGGAGTGCCAAGCTTCCTTGCGATTTCTTATAGACATTTCGAATACATCATTATTCACCTTAGGTACATTTTCTACAGTTCCTCTTACTTTACGTCTTTCGTCTAAAACACGCGGTTTTATAACAGCTGTTTGTTTTTTTAAGTAAGTTTTAATGTAAAAGTCTACGAAGAGTATTAACATGAAGATATTCTGTGGTAGAAACAACGCGGCCGACCATCTCGGATACCCGCAGTCCGGCTTGAAGACGATAGTGCTCATGTGGATGATTGTCATCAAGAACTGCAGCTGAAATGTGACAATTGGTTTTGAAGCAGAAGCAAATAGAACAAAATAGCGTACTCGTTAAAGGCAGTCAACTATCTTCAGTTCCCTTGGAATTGCGGATGTGGTTAATGAAAGAGAGTATACTTCTTCCATAAAATACGGTTGTGCATCTGTAGTTCTTGACCTACTTCCCAAAAGAAGGAGGTACTCAATTCGTCTGTATGTTTTTGTTTTATGTGTGTTACGGCATAACTCCGCCGCTAGTGGACCGATTTTGATAATTCTTTTTTTATCCTAAAGGTAATGCTTGCAGGTGGGTCCCATTTTTTTGTTTGATTTTTGGAGTTAAAGACTACGACGTAGTTAAATAGTTTAGCTCAAAATCGCGCGACGAAATTTCGGGTCATTTTTTATTTGATAGTATAAAGTTAGGCAACCCACTTTGAATTTGTGATATTAAAAAAAAGTTAAAACAGGGACTGAGATCATCTGGAAAGTGCAAGTGCAACACCTCCTCCCCTGGGTCATGTGTAAGGTCAGAACAGCGTCGATAGATCCTGGAACTACCCTGCATCGATCTCCAAATTGAACGCCAGTGTAAGGTATACCTTCACACACAAGAATTAGGTTTGCATATGAAGAAAAGAAAAACGCCAAAAACAACACTTCAATCGTATTTCATAAATGATCCGATCATTGCATCGAGATCAAGATTTCTTAAATCTATACACGTCATAGATTATTATATATTTATGTAGTACTCACAATTTGCAATTGCGTTATATACTTTTTCCATCCGGAAGATTGCTTCACGCTGGGGACGGCCACAGTCAAAAAGTAATACATGTACATGACAACATGAACGAAACAGTTAACTAAGCCAATAAAAGTACCGTGTCCCCCTGGAAAGATGCATTTCAAATATGAATTATTAAGTTCAATTTCTAAGTTTTATAATACATGTAATTTGAACTATGTAATTCCTGTAATAATATCCTGATATACGATTTTATTAACTGTTAAGAGTACAGGACAAACCGCGCATTTCGATCATTGCGGGGCCAGCGAAGTAAGTTGATTTCTCAAGAAATTACTTAACTATAAAAAGTTATTTACCAGGAAAATATGTAACTGCGCCCCAAATCAAAGCAACCATTCCGGTGTGGTGGTAGACGTGGAGAAATGTGATTTGGTTGGTTTTTTTTCTTAACACAAAAAATATCTGAAAACAAAGAACAACAGGATAATGTGATAGATATAGGTTTTGTTACCGGCTATATATTTATGGGACAGAGCTCCTTCGAAGATGGGAAGAGAAGACAGCGGATAGATCTTTCTAGAAGAAAAATGCCCTCTGTTTTTTTTTTACTTTTGGATAAACGTGTGTCAAACAATAAACGTCTTTATTTTCGTTGAGGTTGTTGATAGATACGTATAGGCAATGACAATTTTCAAACCTCTAGGACTGAATTTGAATAGTCCGGTAATTAAAAACTAATTAGAATACATATGTAATTGATGTAGAAGACTCACTGTGTCAGCGAGGTCAAGGATCTTCAGTAAAAAATAAGAGTAAACAAGACGAGCTATCTGGATCGCATCGTCGTTGTTGGAGAAGTCGACTGGCTCGCAGATCCATCTGTACTTCCACCCCCATGCTATTTTAATTCCCTGTCAACGAAAATAGTTTATTGTATTATCTAGAATAGAATTTCCAATTTATTTATTGTTGCGAAGAAAACTTCCTGCTGCTACGTTTATTTTAAAACTTGTGAACTCTTAACTTTATTTCGTGTGCCTCGCCGGTTCACCCGTGTACCAAAATAGGTGTATGCTTTGGCATCGCAATCTCATTTACAGTGCAGGAAAACATCATGTCGCAATCTGAACATAACGAAGAAATTCAAAAGTTTTCGTGAATTTAATCAATCGGCAATGATCGACCGTGGTCACCTTAGTTACCGCCTAAATTAAGGTAGGCGCCGAGCAATTCAGAGAAGACGTATATCGAGCTGATGATATAAACCTTGACGCATATGATATGACCATTATCTCAAAACATTGTAACAAACACATGGTTTAACTAAATACGTTATAAAACTCACAGTTATAAAAACAGCCGCACAAGCTATCACTTGTATTATATTGTAAATCATGAGGGTTTTTCGTAATTCGTAAGGGGGCTTGTTCTTCATCCATTTCGGTCCCCATTTAAATACAAACATTAGATAAATAGTAAGCAGTGTCAACCCTTGGTACGGCTTCGCTGCCAGGAAATAGGATTTCATTCTTGGATCTGAAACCAGATATTAAATATTTATTTACTTCTCATCGTCGTTGAAATCTTACTAATCTTACTAATATTTTAAATGCGAAAATTTAGATGGATGGATGGATGTTAGCGTTTGTAGCCTAAACGGCTGAACGGATCTCCATGAAATTTGGCACAGGTTTACAGCATAGTCTGGAAGAACAAATAGGCTACTTTTTATCCCTGGAATAGTTACGGTTCCCGTTAATTTAGTTTTTTAATGTTTACTCGATCATTCTGCAACGGTACAACATATCTTATTGAAATTTGGCACAAATATAAAACAAAGTCTGGAGTACACATGGGATAAGCTTCATCCCCGAGAAATGTCCGGTTCTCGAGGGATACGTAGCTTTTTGTAATTTTTATAGTTTGTATGTTTTCTAATACAACGCGTACGAAGTCGCGGGCATCAGCTCGTATAAAATAATTAATATTGATATAACTAGTAACAATTTGATAAATCGCACATATAGGAATGTAACATACCTGGTAACTCTTGGAACACACTTATATATAAGTGACACATTTTTTTTATCAGTTCAAACATTTTATCAACAAAGTTGGTATATTAATGAAAAATATGTAAATAAAAAAATAACATCAGTACTGGCTGTGGAAAATCTGCTATATGCAAACAGTGAATACGTTTCTTAGTTGATTTATTAAACTTCAAACGCAATGTGCACGCGAGCAATGATTTTTTGTCACTAAATTTTTTTTAAGTAAACTGCATGTTTAAATGATTATCCCGGAAACGTTACCCTAGAATTTTTATAAGGGGCATGACCGTCTGTTATGTTTTACGGCTACAATAAATAAAACGGCGCGACTTACATTCACACTTTTATATTCATGAATTTTAAGTTGCAATTTAAAATGCATTACATAAATAAAAAATCCGTCTAGTATTTACACATAAAATTGTTGTCTCTGTTATCTACAGGGGAGTGAAAGGGATGACAAGTTATCATACAGTTAAAAAGTTAAACATTGTTTAAATTAACACTTGTTTTAACTCTTCGAGCGCTGCTGATTTATATTTTGGAGGTCACCGTAGTTGTTGTGTCATTATTAATATGTATTATCTGCTTTCGGTATAAGTATTATTATGTGTTGATCTAGAAGGCATTTCGCTTACATAATCTTACTAAAATTATTAATGCGAAAGTTTACTTTTTTTATCATTTATAGACAGCGCTTGACCACGATCCTACCTAGACGAAAATGAAGATGTGGTCGAAGGATGGTACGCGCTAGTTCAGTAAATACCGATTCACATTGCTCTTGAAGGCACCCACGTGATAACTGGACGGGAACACTGACGGCGGCAACTTATTCCATTCCTTTGCTGTGCGCACGAGAAACGATGTCTCAAGTCGCTTCGTTCGAACCCGCGGCACTTCAACTATGAAAGGATACCAGCCGTACGTCTAGATGCCTGATGGTAAAAAGGGGATGGGGGAATGTGTTCGTGTAATTCCTGCGTGCGTTCACCAAAATGCAACCTGTAAAAGTTTACATGGATGGATGGATGTTTATTAGGGTTTGAAGCCTAAACTGCTGAATAGATCGATCGAATTTGGCATAGTTGTAGAGTACATGCTTTTGATTTTTTTTAGTTCCACGTGAACTGAATCCGGGCGAGAGCTGGTCAACGACGCCCATGGACATCCGCAACACCAGATGAACTACAGATGCGTTGCCGGCCTTTGAGGAAATGATAGGCTCGCTTCTTAAAGGAATTGAAACAATAAAGATTTTTTTTAAATATTTTTTATTAATGAACATTTGTCTTACATTTGAAAAACATTACAGATAGTTAATTTTTTAATCATGTTTTCTTGATTTATTATTCTTAATATAACTATGGTAATAGAAATTACCAAACATGTATACAAAGGCTACAGCGTTAATGATGGCCATGATGTTAAACCATTTGGGAAAATTGCAGTTGGTCACCAGGGGGTAGGCGTTATGTAACGCGATTATAACGAACTGGATCTAGAAACAAAAAAAAACATTATAGTAATTCTAATGTAATAGAACCTAAAATCCACACATCAATATAATCAATTGTTTTTAATCAACACGGCATTAAATAATGTGTCTGAATTCCTTATGATAAATATATGCAGTTAAACGTTTATATATTGTTACAAAGTTTAACAATAGATGGAGCTATTTACAATTTTGTGAAATGGTTTATAACACGTGAATATAGATGGCGTACTAAACTTGATAACTGATATAGTACCGTTCAGAATAAGTACCAGTAAAAAAATAAATATAATGTACTATGCCTCGACTATATTATTAAAATTTATTTGTGTCAACATTGTAGCAGATCTAATTTCGTATTTGTTAGCGATACTAACAGAATTGTAAATGTATATCATTGCTATATTTCTAAATTGCTTACCAATTGCAGTGATGTCACATGTTTCTTCCACCAAAGATATTTTTGGTATTGCGGTCCGAGTCCGGAAACTAAATAATATCCGTACATTACGACGTGGACGAACGAGTTTAACAGAGCTGTCAAAGTGGAGTGTCCGCCTAAAATACAGCACAATTTTTTAAATATCCAATAGTGATTAACTCTATCCTGTTTTATTTAGTCACAGAAATGATATTAAAGAATAAAACTGAATCTTCGTGATAATAAATATGGGCATATAATGGGATGCAATTATAAAAACTTTAATATTTTCCATCCATTTCCTACCCTAGTAGAGATAGATATTCACCAAACTCTGAGGGTAGAATCGGTAAGTCTCACCTGGCAGATATTTGACTCCAATCCAAGTAATGATCGGCATTACCGTGTGATGGTAAATGTGCAACGTCGATATCTGCTTATCTTTTTTTCTCAAAACAAAAAATACAGTATCCAACAACTCGGTCAACTTTGCTATGAAAAACCACCAGGTGGCACCCGCAATCTGGAATATGGTAAAGTAACAAGTCAATTAAAAAAATCATTTTGAAGAATATTTAGTAAAGCTCAAGGTTCAAGGTTAAGACCAGTCACTGTTGCTTGCCTATTCATGTAAGTCAGTGAGTAAAGTAAAGTCAATCATTCAAACAGGAATTCTACTATTTAATTTTCTTATCGTAATGTACAAGAGACATCATTAATATTGAGAAATTTTGATAAAGATGAGGGAATTATCCATCCCAGTCCATACCCAATCCGCAGAAGGTCTGTCAGAGTAATCAACGGGAGCGCATAACAGGTTGTAGTCACCAGAGAAGACAAAGACTAATCCCTGTAAAAATAATAATAAGTATTATATAGAAGTGCAATTTGCGAAAAACACTAAAATATTGTTGAGCTACAGAAGTTAAGTGCCACAGAACTTAAATAATATTTTTACAGTAACATAATGTATTTTGTACTTTGTAATTTTTGTATTCTTTGCATGTTTAACTTTCTGGTTTTTGAAAATTTAAATGGATGGATGGATGGATGTTTGTTAGAGTTTGTAGCCTAAATAGCTGAACGGATTTCGATGAAATTTGGTTTAGATGTTGAGGATAGTCTGGAAGCACACATAGGCTACTCACTTTTGTTTTATTCAATTCCACGCAGACGGAGTCGCGGGCGAAAGCTAGTCATTCATGTTTACGGAAATAATTAAAAGTTTGATATAGTAATAGATTAGATAATTAATTTATTTAATCTGAATACTTACGCAGTACACCAAGTATAAACTCATCAAAACTTGGCAGGCATTGTAAACTATTAAAGTTTTCTTCAATTGGAAGGGTTTCCTGTCCCTCATCCACAAAGGGCCAAGCCACGTGCAGAAGTAATAGTAAGAGGCGAGGATGACGAATAGACTAACAGGGTCCGAAACTAGCAACCAGGAATTTGTTTTTTTATCTGAAAATTAAACGTTGAAAAAGGAAATTGTTACGTAAGTGGAGAAGTCATAATTTATTGTTTTTTAACCTAGATGGCGTTGTTTTTAATCTAAGGAATAAAATATTAGTGGTACATAAGTTTAATTTTATATTTATGAGAAAAAATAAACATAAAAAGCTATTTTAATAATAATTTTGTTTTATAAAGTAAAAGTAAAAATTAACTTACGCACAGCTTCGTTGATAAGAAAATTATATTTCTGACGCATATTTTCAACCGCCGTATCCATATTTGCACTTTCTGTTACTTGAACTAAAAAACAGATATTTTTTGCGATGAATTTTCAATCCTGTTTTCAAGGTGGCGGTTATTGTAATACTGAATATCAGCCGGAAAATTTAAACCTACGTAGTTTCACAAATAAACAGAACTTTAGCAATCAATGTCAACAAGACAAAGGTCTAATTGTAGATTATTTGAAATTTAATTAGATTTATAATTACTAATTCGTTAAACAGCTACCTTTACCCGCGATCTCGTCTGCGTGGAATTTAAGAACCTTAAACAAATTTTCATCTCAAATTTAAATCTTTCTAGAATTTAATTTTTTAAAGGTTTATGTGAATTTTCATTTACTTAATTCTGCTAAAGATTTTTTTCATAAAAACTTTCACACCCAATTTTAGACTCTACCTAGACCTATCAAGCTAACAAATCTACAGCGAAATCTGTTCTTTACATTTACATTTAAGAAAAAAACCTTTTAAGGAATTCCTAGTTGCTGTTCAAGAAGTAAGGGGACTTGGACTCATAGGGAGGGTAAATATCTAATCTGTGTGCGTTCCCTCTATTGCTGATTCAAGTTAGATTATGTATTATCTCATTTTAACCAAATTATATCTGTGAAAAATTTAGTTAAGGCGTATAAGCCATTCAACACAAATTCAACGCAGTATCTTGAAGCGTGTTTCAAACAAACTTAATTATAATTTTAAATTTCAAACGCGGTGATTTTCGATTTGCAAAACAAATCCGTAATTATCTTATCTGATATGTTAGTATTAAACGAATATTTACCTCTTTCTGTTGAGAAATTAACACGTGTAATTAAATTTAAGCTTAAATTTAAATATTACTACACTTATAATAGTTATTTTATTTATAACCTTAAAAATATATTGACATTAGCAGTAATTGACGTATGTACCAAGGAGTATTTACGTAAGTCATGAGTGTTTATAGTCTGGATTAGTAAAATTAAAATCCTGGCTAATTTTTTTTAGCTAACCATGGAGGTAATACGTGCAAGAGGAGTGTGTTCTTTCTGTACATCTTTCAGTTAAATTAAAGAAATTAAAACCTAAAGCTAAGGGCGTAAGAGTCTCGTTGCCCGCAAAATGAAATTGAAACGAGTGAGAGGGCTACAAGTGCCCGATATGTCCCTCTCTAACAGTGAGCTAAAGTTGCCAGATATCAATCCTTTCGTCATTTGTAGAAAAATAGGCAATGGATGTAAAAATATTCACTTTCAAAATGTTTCTAATTTAAATAATAATTTGTTACTGATATGTTATTTGTTGTTACATGTAAAATTTTAATAACGCAGATGTGCGATTGGCGTACAGGTTTTCCTTTATTTCTTTGAACAAACGCCTGAACTGACAACACAGCATGAGATTGCTGAATCGGCCTTCAGCGATAGCGCGTTTTTGAAATCCGTAATATTTTAAAAATTCCCTTGTTACAATGGCGAGAACTTGTGTCGTGGAGGCTTGCGGAAGCGAGTATTATCCTGATTGTGGTTTGTCTCTTCATAGGTTTTAAACACAATATGTTAGTGAAGAATTACGGTTACCATGCATGACTATCCAATGAATGATTGAGAGAATCATTAATAAATTTTACTCGACCATTGACTTTAAAATTTCAAATATTTTTAAAGAAAATGTAGGAACTTTCAAACGACATTACTTTCCTCTCAATATCTCTCAAACGATTCTCTAGCAATTTGCATGAAAGAAAAGTAAAAAAAAAAGGTCGAGTGACGTTCAGTTTCGCGGTCATCTGGAAGACCAGGCCAAGCTGGCCTCCAAAAAGCTGGGTGTGCTCAGTAGGGCGAAGCAGTACTTCCAGCCGGGCCACCGCCTACTACTTTACAAAGCGCAAGTTCGGCCCCACATGGAGTACTGCTCGCACCTCTGGGCGGGAGCACCCCAATACCAGCTTCTTCCATTTGACCGCATACAACGGAGAGCGACTCGAATCGTCAACGACCGAGCTTTTACCGATCGGCTAGATCCTCTGGCCTTGCGGAGGGACGTCAGTTCCCTCTGCATTTTTTACCGCATTTACCACGGGGAGTGTTCCGAGGAGTTGTTTGGAACGATTCCTGCCGCCGAGTTTCGTCATCGGACGACACGACAGACCGCCAGGTACCATCCTCACCATTTCGATGGCTGGCATTCCACAACCGTGCGGTTTTCGCGAAACTTCCTGCCCCGCACAGCCGCGTTGTGGAACGGTCTGTCCTCGGCGGTATTTCCAAACCAATACGACTTAGGGTCCTTCAAGAAGCGAGCCTATCCTTTCCTCAAAGGCCGGCAACGCATCTGTAGTTCCTCTGGTGTTACGAATGTCCATGGGCGTCGTTGACCACCTTGGTGTTCACGCCGCTCGTTTGCTCCCTTTTTTTTATAAAAAAAAAAAAAAGGTGAGGGGGCTAACTTCTCGGAGGTGTTCATCTGCATGTCGAGTCCTACAAGTACCACTAGGTAAGTAGTATATGACGCGTGATGTGAAAAGCAAGCAAAAACGGGAAATGTAAAGTGCCCCATAGAGCAAGTTTATCATTATAGAGCACTTTTGATTTAAATTCATCTGAAGCAATGATCTGTTCACGACATCATATTTCAATATGGTCACCATGGCCAGAGAGGGAAAAATGGTACAGTTATTGATGTCTCGCACGCCTTCAATTTTTCGGTAAGAGCTGTTTCCTGTTCTAGTAATATATCCATGAGGGAAACCAACATATATAATTTCTAGTAAAGCTATGACGTGAAATTAAAATAGAACCTAGAGCATGTTTACATGCGTAAATTTCGAACGCGATCTTAAGAATGTTGGCGTCAATGGCTGAAAGCAAAAAAAATAGAACAAGGTAGATAAATTTACTGGACCAGGCCAAGGCCCTCCCACGGCTGTAGTGCCTCAGATAATGATGACCCTAAGGACATGAGGACATAATCGCTTTCTGATAATTTTCATACATTTCTCCAGTATGCGTATACTATTTTTTCCACCTGGATGAAAAGTTCGACTCTATCTGGTCAGGCGTAAGTTAAGTATGGTTAGCAAACAAGAATATGTAAAAAGTAACTATTTATTGTATAAATGTGTTATAAATTATTTATGTTTATTACATTTTTTTCTACAATAGTTTTTAAATACTTAACAAATTACAGAACAATAACATTACAAAGAAAATTGAGTTCGGGTACATAAAATCAACATTTTTCGGGTACAGTCAGCAAAAATCACAATAAATAAATGTCGACTAGATAATAACTACTTTAAATAAATATCAGTAACAAAAAAAAATACAAAAATGATCGAGAGTACATTTTTTATATCTTACAGGCTACAAGTAACATTTTTTTCTCAATTAAGTATTATGAATCTTTTTTATTTGATGTTCTTCCGTTAGTTGAAGAAGATAAGGCTCCCTGGCTCGATAAAGATGACTTATTAACTTTAATATAATTATAATAATAAAAGCTACTGAACATCCAGGTGAAGGTACTAGTTCCTCCCAGTATTAACATTTTTAGGACGATCGGAAAGCCACAGTCGTAAAATAGACTAATTGCAGTTTGTATGCTGATTATTCCAAACTGCACCTGAAATAAATGTTTTAATGTAAAAAAAATATAGAGACACATAAATATATCACACCAGCTTCCGCCCGCGACTCCGTCCGCGTGGTAATAATATCCGATCCTCTACATCTATGCCAAATTTCATCAAGATCCATTCAGCCTTTTAGGCTACAAACTCTAACAAATATCGATCCATCCATCCAAACTTTCACATTCATAATATTTGTAAGAAGTAAGATTTATAACGAGTTACAATTAAAAACATAAGAGAACTATTGGTTAACTAAAGTAGGGTAATTATCAATAGCAAATGTCAAAATGACATGACATGACCAACCTTGACAATCTTGCTTCCTTGATGTTGGCAGTAACTTATGGTCTCTTTCCCACATTAAGCTTATTATCCAAAATATTTACCCCCTAAGTTTAATGGCGTGCCAATGTATAGCCTAAAGCGTGACGTAAGTGTAGGGCTTTTTATTAAAAAAAAGAGTTTTTAGAAAATATGCTGTGATTGCTGACATCTTAGGCAATAAAGAAGTGTGTGTTTACGCTTTATTATAATAGTATAGAAGTATAGATTAAAATCTACTGCTGTTTGAAAGGAAAATTTTACTTGAAACTTTACTTACAATTTGCATGATAGTTAGATATCGCTTCCACCATAAATATTTTTTAAACCTCTCTCCAAAACTGGCAAGAAGGTAATATGAATACATGATAACATGTATTAAGGAATTAATCCATCCGATGTACGTAACCTGACCACCTGAAAAGATATGAAAACAAGAGTTAAAAAAGCACCAAAAAGCTTGGAGAGTAAACTGACTAGTGAGTAACTTACTAATCTTATAAGTTCTTACTTAACATAAATGCGAAAGTTAAGATGAATGGATGTTTGTCAGAATATATAGCCTAAACAGCTGAACAAATCTTGATGAAATTTTGCATATATGTAGAACATAGTGTGTAAGAACACATAGGCTACTTGTTTTTGTTTTTTCAATTCCACGGGAACGGAGTCGCGGGTAAAGGCTTGTAGTAAAGTGTAAGTAAGATACCTGGAAAATATTTAATTGCTATCCAGGCCGCTAACGCCATTGCTGAATGATGGTACAGATGTAAGAACGATATTTGTCTGTCAGATTTCTTTAATACGAAGAATACTGTATCGAGGAATTCCGTTAACTTCGCTATAAAATACCACCAAACTGCTGACACTAACTGAAATAAAATAAACGATTTGATTAACAGACTCAGTTGTATTAATATTGTTATTTTAATAAAGTTTGTATGTCGTTTACCTTGATGGTAATGTAACAATTAAAGCATGTGTAGCGGTCGCGTATTTAAATATATTCACATACTCGTATAAACTTCGTTAGGGCGAAATTTTGAAAAAATTGTCTGCAGAACTTGCCGCGTGCAATGACTACCTTTCCAGTGAAAATCGGTACACCCGTTCCAAAGTAAGCGATCGGCCGCGAAAAGTAGCCTATAATATGTCCGTCCATATCAGCTCCCCCCACTAAAGAACACATTAAAACTGGCCCATCCGTTTCGAATGTCGAATTTGTCGTGTTAGAGGACTCAATAGCTATCAATATGTGTATTTTCTATAGTTTTGAGGTTATTCAATTTATTGTAAAAGCTCCGCCCCGAGTAGAATTACCCTGTATAATTATAATATGTAAAATATAGTACCCGGAGAGTATTTGGATCTGTTGCTTTGCTGACAGCTTGACAAAAGAAAATGTACTCAGTTGACAGTGTTACCGTTCCCTGAAAAAAATAACAATATGATAGAATACGTCGCACGTCCGTATTATGTTTTATTCAATTATTATTAGTATTAACATTACCTCGTAAAATATGTAAGCACTTAAGAATATTTGAAACAAATTATAAAGTTTTATAACATTTTTCAATTGAAATGGTTCTCTATTCTTCATAAATGATGGCCCCAGTACTAAACAGAAGTAGTTGTAGAAACCAATTATTGCTGCGAAAGTCACTGGTCCGGACACCAGGAACCAGTTCTTCGAACGAGGATCTGAAAGAAATTAATTTAATTCACTAATGAAATAAGTTTAACTTTTATAAATAACTAGATAATAATTAAAAATAACATCCAATGTAGACTTCTGACATTCCGGTAAAAATAACAATCAAATGATATCAACGTAAAAATCTTATTTACAGGCACGCGAAAACATTACGCTCTTTTTGTAATAAGATGACAAACGAGGGAGAGCAACCGGTGCTTAACGACATCCAC